ATCTATCATATAAAATAGCAGTATCATATGCTAAATTTTTATAATAAGGAAGAATATAATTCAAACTTCCTAAAAATCTTTGTAAGTGAGTTTTTTTCTAAAATTTTATCTGGGAATTTAGAAGCAAACTCAATACTTCTATCAAGAGGAATTATTTTCCTTTCTCAATATTATGTCCTAAAAATCTAACATTTGTTTGAAACAACGATATTTTTGATTGAGATATAACAAATCCATTCTGTTTTATTAATTTCTGAAATATATTTGAATGATTAAAATGTGATTCTATATCCTTAGAAAATACTAATATATCATCAATATAGACAATAATAAATTCACTATAAGGAATAAAAATATCATTCATGACTTTTGAAACTCAGAAGATGCATTCTTTAATCCAAGTAGCATCACTTTTCATTCAAAATGACCAACTGGGACATTAAAAGAAGTTTTATATTAATCTGACTCATCAATTTGAATTTGCCAATATTCAGATTTTAAGTCAAACTTAGAAAATATTAATACATCATATAATCTATCTAATAAATCTTTTTTATTAGGGATTGGGTGTATAATCCATTTTAATACTTTATTGAGAGGTTTATAATTTATCACTAATCTTGGTCTTCCTCTTTCTATCTCACTATGTTTATTGACATAGAAACCAGTACATGACCATGGAGAATTTGACTTTTTATTCAATCCTTTTTCTAATAGCATATTCATCTCTCTTTTACATAATTCTAAATATTCAAAATTCATTTGACAAGGTCTTACCTTTGTCTTAATCATTGTTTTTTCATCAAAATCTTCTTCATATGGGAGACTAATCATATGCTTTTTCCTATCCCCAAAAGCATTAGGATGTTCATTACAAATCTCAGTAGAGATATTATTATATACTCTCTTAATCTTTTCTTGTAATTTAGGATTTTTTAAATCCTCTTCAATTGAAAATATATTAATTTCAAATTTTAAGAAATTAATTTGATTATTTTTTCTAAAAATAAGATCTTTAAGCTCATTAATGAATCTCGTATTAGGTTCAGTTGTAAACTTAAAAGATACAAGTTTTTTATCATATGTTCCTATGATACTATCAATATCAATATGAGTGATAGGAAAAATCCTCTTTATAAAAGGAGTTCTAAGTATAACTTAGCTAGTTATATTTTTAGCTATTAAAAAACTTTCAGGAATACAAACTTGATTATTACAAATATATCCTTTAGACAATTTATAATTTATGTCTAATGCTTTCCCACCAGCATGTCTTACTATATGAGTAGTTTTTTCAAAATATTTAGTAGGAATTATTCCTTCCTGTATGACACTAACATCAACACCACTATCAATTAATGCTACTAGTTCTATTTGATAATTATGATCCATCAATAATTTAATGATAACATGAAATTTAAAAGAAGTGATTAAATCTAAAGATCCTAGGAAATTCTGATTTCCCGTTTCATTTATTAATATATTTTTTATAAGAATCTACTTGTTTCTTATTTTCTAAATTAGAAACTCTATCATCTAAACTCTTATTAAGATTTTTCAGAATTTTATTTCTTCTTTGAGATTATTAATCTCTTCTCCTAAATCACTTACCCTGGTAGGAGATTTTTCTATCCTATTAGATTTTTCTTTGAGCATTTTATATACTTTATCTATTGTATATGGATTATTATCTATTTCTAATGATTCATCACTACTACTACTTTGAATATCACTAACTTGTTCAATTATCTTTGATCTTAACTCTTGATCTTTTATTGATCTTAAGAATTCCAGAATATTATTACTGGTTAAAACACTAATGTCTGATTCTCTAAATTGAGATATAATTTTATAAAATTCTTCATTTTCATCATTAATCTCTTTTATACAACTATTAGTTCCCTTACAAGGATCACAACACTCAATTTCATCTTCTGAACTTTCTGATGCATAACTTAACTGATTTATTTCACCTTCATCTGAGCTTTTTGATTCAGATTCTAAATTTAACAAATTAATTAACTCATTTTTAATTTCCTAGCTAATATCTAAACTATTTATTCTTTTCTTCATTTTGCATTTATTTGCAAAATGTCCTGGCTGTTTACATTTATAACAAATTATATTAGCTCTATCTTTCTTATTCTCAAGTCTTTTCATTTTCCTTATTGCTTTTTTATTTAATTTCTCTTGAGAATATTTTCTCTCTTTTTCTTATAATACTTATCATCTTTTTTAAAAATTTTTATCATTCTTTTTTCTGATGGAATTTCCATCCCAAATTGACTACAAAACTGACTTAATTGTTTTCTTTCAGTCAATCTTTGTCTTTTAATCTGTTGATTTAATTTTATCTCATTATATAAGGCTAAACCTTCTTGAATACAAGTTCCTATTAACTTCCCATAAGTATCATCTTCATAAGGAATATTTATTCTATCTTTTCTTAAGACTCTTCTAACTCTTTCTGCAAATAAACTTGGTAATCCATCTATAAATTTAGATTTCCAATGAACACTATTACTATCATGTAATTCCATAACTCTATTAAGAAAAGCATCTCTATACCATCTAAAATCAGATAATGTTTTACATCTTAAATTTTGTACTTAATAAAGAATTTAAGTACAAATATTTTCACTATTATCAGAAATTCTTCCTATAAAATGTTCTAATATAGTAACAATTAGTGTATAAACTGCATTTTCTACAACCTGAGATCCCTCTTGTTTAACCGTTCTATAAATTTCTTCTTTATTTTGTAGAGACAAATAATGGTCCCACCAACCTTTTAGTTGGCCAGTAAACCTTGCAACTATCATTTTTGCAATACCTACATCATTATTACCATTTGTTTTACAAATAGTACTATACATTAACATTATATGAGCCATATTATAAATTTGCTTTTCAATGTAACCATCTATATTCCATTCATAAATATATTTTTTTCACTGTAACTATTATTCAGTATGTATTCCTGCTCTTCATGTAAGATATCTGCAGGAGAATGTCTATTATAATAATATAATCTTTGAGTAGGCTTATCAGCATATTTATTCAATTTATTAATGTCATCATCTATTATAGTTTTATAATCCTTATTCCCTTCTAATCGTCCTGAGAATTCTTCTTCTAGAGTATTGATTTTTAAATCTTTAAATTTAGTATCTAGTAGTTTTTCTAATTTTGATAAGGATTTTAATTTAAAATCTTTTATTTCAGGTGGTGGTTAAAGAGTTGGTGCTGCAACAACATCTACTTTATTATTGCTAGAACCACTAGCATGACAAGTGTCTCTATTATTTTCTACCAAATGTATTAATTTGTCTAACCTACTTTGTATAGATAAGATTTGTCCCCCAAAATATTTAAATAAATATTTGTATAATTATTTTGTTCTATTATCTTATTTATCTGTTTTACAGTTATAACCAAAATTTCATCTTCAAATAACTTTGTATATGCAGAGAAACTCATAACAACATTATTTTCCTTTTCTATTTTAAAAGGTTGTTGTGGAGGAAATAGTGCTTTAGCGTATTTCCATTCAAGAGTTTATAATCTCTTTCTAATACACATGTGTGGTTCAACATAAACAGATATAAACCATAGTACAAAAGAAAATAAAACATTATGATATGATAAAAACTTATAAAATTCATCCGAAATAAATTGTTGCATTTCTAAAGAGAAATTTGGGAAAACCACTTTCTAAATGGTTCCCATCTTGGAAGATTAAATTCTTCTTTGACTTGATGTCTAGCCAAAGAATCTGTGCTAAAATCTATCTTATTCATATTGAAAATGCCATTTCTGACTCAGTTATTTCTTCATCTTTGGTGTTATAAATACCTTTAACTATATTTTCTTTATTTTTTACCAATTTATCAACGTGATAATTATTCTCATCACGTTTACTAACCTCTGAAGTAGAAACATAATAAGGATGTTCACTATAAGAGGTAGAAGCACGATTAGGAATAAAATCTTTATCCTTTATTAGAGGTGAAATATAATGAGTTGAATATGATTGAGATAATCCAGATCTATAAGATATGTTATTATTCAATATGAATGGATTATTCCTCATTTGTATATAAACATGTCCTTCAAGAGGTTGTTCAATAGAACTTACTTCTGTATTTGTTTGTGACTGGATATTACCAGTTCTTTCTATAACCCATTGTTCCGAAATAGGCATTTCATCCTATTTAATTGTTCTTCTAGTGGTAATCTTTGATTTATTGAAATTAGTTTTAATTAAAACTGTCTCATTTAAATTTTTATCAATTAATTTACAATTGGGATTTAAAGTCATTAAAGGTTTTATAATAAATTCTATAACATATACAAATCAATTCTGATCCAGTCATATAATTATATCCATGAGTTTTAACATTCAAAGTCAATGCATCAAGGATATTGACATCACTTAAAGATAATGAAAGATTTGGATAGACATTAAAATAAACTGGCCCATGTGCCAAGCTAGAATGTATCATTCCCATTAATGATTGTTTCCAATTCAAATTTCTAGCATCTCGTAAACAAGTTATAAAGCTTTCTGGTAACCCTTCTAAAGTTAATGGTTTAAAAGCAATTTGTACCAAACCAATATGAATAAATTTATACAATTGACAATATTTATTAATATCATCTTATTGCAATAATTTGATCTCTATTTCCTCATTATCTAAAGAAATGGATTCTTCAGTTGTTTTAACAACTTGTTTCAAACCTAATTTTTCAAAAGTACCTAACTGATATACAGTCTTCAATTCAATCTTTGGAATTGTCCATTTATTAAGTTCTTCTAAATTTTCAGGAATATCATATTCTTGTTTTAGACCATTTTTAAGCCGAAAATATCACCTCCCAAGCACACTCAATACAACAGTGTAAAGCTAATAGGAGGAAATTTACAATATGCAAATATTACATTATTTGATCAATGTAACTTCCTAGGTTTCCATTCGATGTGGTGAATATTTTACCACTTATTTAGGGCGTCTGCGGTAAGGGTAGAGAATGTCGTCTACACTCTCTTTTACTCGGTTGCCCACTTTGCTCATGTTCTTGACCACTCCCATCGCAACCAAGTTGGCATTTCTTTTGAATCTGGTCAGAAACTCATCATTAATTGGCTGAGTCGGTTTCACTGGACGAGTTGGTGAGTTTGTTGAAGTAGAAACACCTTCTTTGTTATGTATGTGAGCCGGAGGTGAACTAATATTTTTGACTCTTCTGTCCATCAAAATCTCAATTCCAACACAAATAGGCAGTGTCGTCGTCTCTTTCTCATCGTTTGGTTGATCTTTATCGACAGAGTAAGCTGAGTAGCCAAGTAAAATCCACCAGCCTGCTGCCTGCTTGGGACGCCTCTATCTCCGATTTGCTAATGACATTTCGGGGTACATTTGGATAGGAACGGGTAAAACCGACGTAGACAGGGTGCGGGAATTGGATTTGAAAGCTGAGGAATAATACAGACATCCCTTGCAAGTTCTGCCCTTAACCCCATTCATTAAGGTAGTGTTTTTATCCGAGGATGAAGATGAAGGCGGGTTTCCTGAGACTTTGGATTCTTCTTTAGATTCATTCTGATGATGAAAATGGTCGGCGTTGGGCGAAGGCAGGTTATCTCGGTGGCTTGTCGCGGTGGTCAAATTTTGCGGATCCACCACAAACCTCTCCGACGCCTCCTCCTCGTCCGCCGCCATGAATGGCCCCTTTATTTCTTCAGATTAACAATCAATGAATCGTGAGGTATGATGCAGCAGCTAAAGGGGGTCGTCTGACTCCCGATTGTGGAGTAATGAACCCTGAGTCGGTTAGAATTCACCTCTTACTCCAAAACTGCTAGGCATGAAAGTATATATTATAGAACCCTAAATGCGTCAACTCACCAGCATAATATCATGTCAGCATCCCAATGAATTGCAGCTGGACACATAACTCACGAAGTCCAGTCACATGATAACCCACATCCTCGTTCTACTTTCAAACATACCCACCAAGACTCATTACCTTCCTCTCCAAACTGTATATAAGTATTTCAGTGGTTCCTCTATTCACTTAATCGGGACACGATATTCTCCTACCTATAGCTTGGCTTTGGCTACAATAATAAGAATTACAGTGGAACATTTAGTATAGGGATGATTCCCACTTGGTGTTGAGGTATTTTCAGACAGCAACTTGCTGGTGCATCTTAAACTAAAGTGAGTGCTTTATTAGAAAGCACTCACTTTCTTGTGGGCAATGAAACCTGCTTTCTTAAGAATGAACTTAAGTATTGGCATTTTTTCCCCAACCATTTCTATTTTTCGTTTCAGCCGTTCACTAAAGTGGATCAGCAAGTATAATTTTCCTCTTGCAAGTATCAGATAATCCCTAAGTCTCACTTTTGGGTTTTTACTAGAGAAAAAATCCCTAAAGGATTTCCAGATACACAACTAGCCGACTTCACTTGAAGTTCTCCAATAGAAATATGCTGCCACACCAATAAGTCATCATTATTCTCATTATCATCAAGAAAATCTTGCACATGTGCTGCAAGAAAGTCACTGATGTTGCTGCCAGGGAAACCTTGTAGTTCAGGGAGTATTGGCTGTTTATTTTGGAAAAATTCATGTATGCTCAAGCTTGGATAAGACGGCTGAGTATTTTCATCATCCCAAAGGATTCAAAAAGTAGACCAATAGTTGAACCAAAAGGATTTATTCCCTCGTTGGATGATAAGTTTTGTATGCTGCGCAACCCCAGCACCAACCTTTGATACACGATTCCAAAAAGTTTTTTTCCTTGCTGCCAAGGATAAAGAGAAAATAAAATTGCTCTAAACTCCTCTTCTATGCCTCAATTTTCACCATAGCTTAACCATTAACGCATCAATGAATCTCTGAAAATTGCAGACACCCAAACCATTCTCTTGGATCGGAAAGGTAAGTTGTTTCCATGATCGCTAATGTCTTCTCCTTTCTTCAATTGTACCAGCCCAAAAGAACTTTTGACACCGCCTTTCTATGTTTTTGATAACTGATTTTGGGGGAGGAGTAGCTGAAAAAACAGGTACCGGGATGGAAGATAGCACATGTTGAATAAGAATCAATCGGCCTCCTTGACTCAATAGCTTATTCTTCCAACTCAAAAGCTGCTTATCAATGTTATCAAAGAGAAACTGAAATGTGGAGGATTTTCTTCGTCCTTGATAGAGCCTGCAGCCAAGATAAGCAAAAGGAAAAGACCCTTTTTGAATCCCTAGAGTCTGCTGAATTAGAGCCACTTTCCTTGCGCTACAATTTTCAGAAACCATGAATGTACTCTTTTCGCGACTAATTTTCTGCCCAGAAGCATTCTCATAATCAGTAAAAAAAACCATTCATCACTTCTAATGATCTCTTCAACCCCCTGGAGAAGATAATATCATCGGCAAAAGCAAGATGCGAAACCGACATCGAACCACAAGGTGGCCCATACTGCGCAACCTTCCCACTAGCTACTAGAGAAAATTTCCTTCTTTTTTTTTAGTAGTGAAAATTTATTTTTTCTTTTTAAATTAAATTAGATAAAATTGGTTATTTATAGATTTTACGATTTTATAAATAAAAAGTTACCATTAAATGATGGAGTGATATAGTTGTGACATGTGGACTTGGTTATCTAATTTTTTGCTATGTGGACTAACCTATCTAATATTACGCCATGTGTCCGATTGAAAACTCTCTTTTAATATATAGAAATATAGATTATAAAAATAGAAAATATAATTTTTTATTAAAAAAATGTTTATGAGTAACTTCATTGTTCATAACATTCTATCAAAATGAACAAACAATAAATATTGGCAAATTGTCACTGGTAACCAAAATGCTTGCCAAATTTTGTAGAAACATAAATGGCATTTCGATTTTGAAAAAAAATACTGATACAAAGTGAACAATAAGACACTATCAAATTTCTTCATCAAAATTGGAAACCAATTGAAAGAAGAAAAGATTTCAAAGATGAAAAAACTACAATAATAGATAAAAAAAAAAAAACAACGATAGAGATAGTGACAAATTATAGTGAAATAAAATAGTGACTAATGAAAAGACAAAAACACCATCATCACTAAATATATGTACTTATTAATTAAGGTTAAAAATGTAATTTTTCAGGAAAAAATAAAATTTTAACGGAAAAGTGACAAAAAACTAGGGGCCAAGAATACTTTACGTCACTCATTATATTTTTTCACTATTTATTAATCAAGCTAAGGAATTTTTATTTTTTTTAACTTTTCTATATGTTTTTCGTTAATATTGATCCTTTCTAATTCATCTGAGCAATACACAGGAAATAAACATAGTTGTTCTACAAAGGTTAGATATACATTTTGTCGAGCATTTCTCTATTCTTTTTTTACGCATAAAGTAGAATAAGTGGTACATTTGTATTAGAGTAGGGCGGTTGCTGCCTCCAGAACCCAGAATTTTGCCTTGAATGATGAGAAGTTCCATATTTCAAAAAGGGCTGGGAAGGCCCTTATTCAAAAAGGGCTACTTTGTAGTTCCATATTTCAAATGAAGAATAGACCTCCCCCTCCCCCGGCGAAAAAAAAAAAAAGTCAAATGAAGAGAATATAAAGTCAGAAGAAAAAATAAGTTTTAGAGTTAGAAAAAAAAAAAAACAAACGATAGCATTCCTTTAAGGTTATTGACTCCCATTCTCGCAAATAAATTGACGTGTTCCAAAACCCAAAAGAGAACAACAACAAAAATAATAATAAGAAAAAAAAAAATTGCTCAAACACAAATTTCATCTAATTTCTGAAATTGAACGTATATGTTGAGATTCAAAAAATTAACTTTTTTTTGTTAATCAGAGAATTTATTTTAAAATTCTAAACGGATGCAATCAATAAAACCAAAGTGACCTCAGTGAAATCACGCAATTAAAAATTAGGCAAAAATTTTAAAAATTAAAAGAACCTTTACCATGGTTGCCGACCATTTGTACTGCTGCTCAGTTTTGCTTTGGAGGGGGAAAAAACCCACAGTAGAAATGCACTACCATTGATCAGTACATATACATGTTGGTTTACTGGATTTTTGGATTTTTTTTTGAATTTTAAATTATTGCTTATTAAGGTATAAATGAATTGGTGATAAATTTTTCCACGATTCTTGCGGATTATGCTCAACATTTAATAATTTCAAACTTTGAAATGTGTTTCATAATTTTTTTTCTTAGGTGAGAGAATAATTCGTCACATTTAATTTCATTGATTATGTAGTTATTACTGATTGATATTTACAAAATCAATGAATTTACATTTAAATGTACTCTTGACTATAATGATTTATGGCACTGTAAAGTTAAGAGAAGAAAACAAAAGTGTTATATTTATTCACTATTTAATTTTACAACAAAAGTGTTAGGATAAGATTTTTATTCCTTTTTTTCTCCCATATAACTGAAGAGTTCTTATCTCATTTGATTTTTTTTTAAAAAAAATTTAGATGGCCCCAAAGAGAATCGAACCCTCCACCTCTTGGTAATAATCATCCCTATCCTAATCTCCTAACCACCCCACCCAACTCTCCCACCCCCCTCTTATCTCATTTGATTTAATTGATCATCTAATTGAATAATTACTATTTCCTTTTTTCTCTCCTCATTCCAATCCGAATTTATGATTTATATTTTAAATTGTGATGGTTTGTTTTAATTATTTTATATGAAATTTGAGGACTCATTTATAATTTTACTAAGTTTTTTTTAGAAGAGCTTTTATAAAATGACACCTTGTATTTTTGTTGATTTTGCACTCTGATTAAGGTGTATGATTTTTTTTTCTTTTTGGATGAGAACTAATTATCCACAGATATCGTGGGAAATTATTGGACCAAAAGAAGTTATTTGTTCATCCGATAGTTTTTAATAAATATGAATCCCATAATTTTAGTGGATAGATTTTAGAGATATGATCTACTTATCAATAATTAATTAGTCAAGTAACTAATTTGATTTAGAATATCGAAACTTATGGGAATTAACCTCATGATCAAAGTAAAACTATGTAAAGTAATACACATTTAATGCTCATAAGGATAATAAATGATTTTAAATTTTAAATTTCATTGTGACCCGAGATTTTGTGGGAATGTGATAATGGTTTTTTTTTTTTTTTGAAAATTTTTTCCATTTTAATTTTTTTTTTTGTAATAGGAGGACTTATTCATAATTTCACGTTGTATTTTTGGGAAGATATTTGAGAAAATAACACAAAGAATCTTATTCTACGTGATACCTTTAGAAAATTTTTTTGTCTTCTCTCTCGAATTTCTCTTTTAGTATAATACTATAAATAAAGATTCTGATTGTTTCATTATTTTCATATATTTTGAAATCAATCTTTCCCTAATTATATCAAATTCAAATGTCTAGAGTGATATCATATCAATCCCATGAACCATTTTAGATGAACACTATAAAAGGTATAGATTGCTCAAACACAAGAGATAAGGATGAATAGAATCCTAAGAGATGAGAATCATGATAAGAATAAATTCTTTTAGTTGTATTGGAGAGAACTCAATCTCTTCTACTTCTATCTTGTTCCTATGATATCTTATACTCCCTCTGTCCCAAAATTATTGTCCAGTTTGAGATTTCACTTTTAGTACAATTTGAACTATAAATGAAAACTCAAACTGGACAATAATTATGAGATGGAGGGAGTATTTTTTTTTAACTCTCCATGTGATTTATTGTCTTTTCACATTTGGATTTTATCTTTGTTATTATTTCAGGCAAGATTAGAACTAAATAAATTCCCAAAAGAATTACTCCCACATGATTTATTAGTAGGATTAATAATCAAAACTAAATCAAACTCTACCTAGTGAGAAGTTATGGTCAAATTTGAACTTTTCCTATGTTGTTGTATCAAAATAGGACTATTCTATTAATTTCATCTTATATAATGTTGATAGAAATTAATACTAAGATGACTTTTAACTATGACATGTACATAGAAAACCCCAAACATATCAAATTTCAGGCAAGTGAAATATTATGGGGAAAGGTAAGAAAATTACCACTAGTACTAGAAGTTAATCTTGAGTTGAGTGTTATTTAACGAACATAGGCATTAGGCACATTTGACCAAATTGGATTATCATTCGACATGTTTCCTTAATTCTCTCGACCCAAGTCTGTTCGTGTCCTTCTAAAGGACAATCCAACGGCCAGGAGATCGCCACATCAGCGCGATAACCGTAAAAAATAAAATTAATAAGTCATCTGAATCGTTTTTACAGTTTGTCCCCGTGAATATGTTATTGACTCTTGGATTCCGTACTCCCAAAAAAAAAGCCTTTCCAAGTTTCCACTTCTTTTTCCCCCTCAGCTCCTTTCTTCCCCTGTACTTTTTCAGATTAATTTCATGGCGGAAATAAAGAAAGAAATTCTCGTACCAAATTCGCCGGATTCCAACCCGGAAGGAAAACCTTCGTCGACGTTCCCATCGTCTGTGATCGATCTTTCCAGTAGTGACTCCGACTGTGAGGATTTTTTTTCTGGTCCGGATGATGATGGCGTGGCGGGAGATAGTAGTCACAAGCGGCCGAAGAAGAAAACGAAACTCGATAAGAATGTGGCTCTGCCTTTAGGGTTTCTTGAACCATTGCCGTTGGTAGTGGGGCCGGAATCGTCTCCGGCGACTGGTCCAGCACCGCTGGCCATGCAGGTGCCTACAGAGGTGGCCCTTGCTTTGCCGGCTCCGGGCGGGGGTATGATGGTGAAGGGGGAGTACAACAGCAAGCAATTTTGGAAGGCGGGTGATTACGATGGCGCTCCAACCGGCGATTGGCAAACTTATGCCGGTTAGCATTTTTTTTTTTTAAACTTTTTGTTTCCTTCCCCGTGCATTATTGCCTGCAATTAATGTCTATTAGCGCCAAAGTCCCTTCGCTAGAGTTCTTGAAATCTTGGAGCTTTCTTGGTTCTAAAATTCAATTGCATGTGGTTTGATTAATCAGTTTCATTGCCAACGTGGAGTGAATTACTAAAACAGGGCGTCTTTTAAATGCTTTATCTTAGTAACTTTTACCAAGAGTTAAATGCTTTCCTTCTATTCCACAGAACTTTCTAGTTTAGGTTGTGCCACCATGGCATTGTTGTTATTTAAGTACACCATGAAATGTGCATGCTTTAAAGTTGCTATGGTGAATTAATTTACTTTCTTTTTGCAAATCTCATTGCTAAATGATACACCTGAGCTATTGATATGTTTAAGGTCAGGATAATATCATGCCATCTTCGACAATGCATGTGAGTTGTCACTGAAATTGGTATAATCATCACCTGTTCTTTCATCAAGGGAGGCTTCTAGTTTTTCTTGTGATAGTAGTTGGGACTCACTTTTAAAAATGTGCTAACTTCTGAGAAACCTTATTGCGGGGTTGAGGTTTATCCCTACTGTTACAGAGTGAAGAATGGAAAAGCTTTAACCATTTACTTTAGTTTCACTTGCAAGGTTTCTGTAAAATTTTCTCCAAAAAGAAGCAGTTTGTTCATTTTGTAAATCTATAGTGACTCAGTTTCAAAGTGCACATATGGTTATTTTGTAAACAGTCAGTTTGAATCAGAACTATTCTTTCTAATTGATGAGGAGGGCAAGAATATGGTTGTGTTTGACCGATAACCTCTAGCTTTTCTTGATAGATGTCTGGTGATACAATAATTAGTCTGTTAAGTGTCGTGAGAAGTTTGTGCTTGTGGTTATCTAGGAGTTTCAGTAAGTGAAAAGTTTCTAATGAAGTAAATATATGTGTATTTCCTTAAGCATGTACACCGTACAATAATTACTTTCTGATGTTTGTCGAACATCATTTTAAGTATTAATAGTAATATGGAGTATACTCGTGTTGTGTTGGATTTTCCTTGTTCAAAAAGCATTGGCTAGTTCAAACTTTGGTTGTGAAAACACTGAGCTCCATACCTTTGTAGGTGGCATGGATCATGTTCGAGTTCATCCAAGATTTCTACATTCAAATGCTACAAGTCATAAATGGGTTCTTGGAGGTAAGGTGCTGAAACTACTTAAAAGGTGTATGAATTAATTATAAAAATGGTCTTCTGTTTTACTTACACGTCTGAAATTTCTGTTGCAGCTTTCGCGGAACTTTTGGACAATGCACTTGATGAAGTATTTCCTTCAACACGTTGTCTTGTTTGCTTCTTTTAGTTATTATCAGATTTTCCTAATATCGTTTTTTGTTCAAAATTTTTCCTAATAGGTGCGGAATGGTGCAACATACGTTAATGTAGATATGATTAAAAACAAGAAAGATGGGAACAGAATGCTGCTGATCGAAGGTGTCATTTAGTTTTTCTCGTCTGTTCCATGCCCCTTTTTTCAGTTTTCGTCAATGTGTATGGTGATATTACATATTTTGATGTCATTTAGATTTGATGGAACTAGAATGCATATTTGTAGAAAAACTGTCTTTAAGCTAGATGTTGCAAGCTCTTTGATAACCAAATGGACTGATAGTGGTTGGTGGGAATTAGAGTTGTTTCCTTTGTTTTGTTTATATGTGTCCTGTTTAAGACTGTACAAGACTTCTTCTTACCTATGAATTTGTGATATGTTATTGAAAGTTTGAAACTTTAAAGTATACGATATACATACTTATTAGCACGAATGTTGTAGGCAGTATTGTTCAAAAAGTTAATTAGGAGTTTGGTTGTTGCCTCTTTAGATTTGGTTAATTGTTTTTGCTTGTTTATTTCGTTCTTCAATCGTTTTCTGCCATTTTAATTTTCTTTCTATTTATACCAATAGCCATTATGCGGTAGTTAATATATTTTGTTGAATTATTGAAGATAATGGTGGAGGGATGGATCCTGATAAAATGCGCCAATGCATGTCTCTTGGGTATTCTGCCAAGAGCAAAATAGCTGATACTATTGGACAATGTAAGTGTGCACTCTTGAGATGTCATCTCTTCTAACCTAAGTGGCGTATATTTAAACTTTTGTCATCTTTCTATCAGATGGAAATGGTTTTAAGACTAGCACAATGAGGCTTGGAGCTGATGTTATTGTTTTCTCTCGCTCTTATGACAGAGCTGGAAACAGGTCACTACGCAATTTACCTCTCTCTCTCTCTCTCTCTCTCTCTCTCTCTCTCTCTCTCTCTCTCTCTCTCTCTCTCTCTCTCTCTCTCTCTCTCTCTCTCTCTCTCTCTCTCTCTAAAACACACACACACACAAGCACACATGCATGCACCTACTCACTCACTCTATTAGATTCTTTTTTTGGATGACTGACTGAACCGGTCCTTCGTAGTTGTACTCTTTTTCCATGGTAAATGAATGTGAAAGTGCTAGTGAGGACTTCTGTGTCCTTTATTATTTATCTTTGAAACAATGCATTGCAAACTAATATTTCATTTGGATGCTGCTTTAGTTTTTCAAACGGATGGGAGTGAATTTTTATGCTGTTTTCTGTGTCTATCAATATTTTTTTTGTTAACCAATTATTCTTTGTTATTTTCTTTAGGTCCACACAGAGCATTGGATTATTATCCTTCACATTTTTGAGAGACACCGGAAAGGAAGACATTGTAGTTCCAATGGTACACGGGGTTTTCTTTTGTTTTCTGTTTATCTATCTTGGTGACAACCTTCAAACTCTCTTCATTTTGCCTATTTGAAGGATAGAGCTAATTATCTCTATTATCAAACATATGATTACCATTAAAAAGTCAGTTATAATATCAACGATAACCTAGTCTTTTCCATGCCCATATTTCTGCTCAAGTTGATACTGTTGACAACACTTAACCTACCACCAAATTAGTTTTCTTATGATTTTATGTGAGAATATGATCTGCATAAGGACTCTGATAGAACTTCCTAAAACATTTTGTGTAAAAGTGAATTTTGTTTATTACTACTTGCATACCTTCTGCCATATTCATCATGGGTTTGAAGTTGCAGATAACAACACTGACCTATGATATTGAGCTATAATTTCTTACATAACAGGGATGATCTGTTTTCATGATAAGGACAGCTCTTGCGACAAACAACCACATTTAATGCATTAGGTTTTTCTTTCTTTGCTTTGTACATGTTCTGGAAACCAGTTTCAATATTCCTTCCTTGAAAACTGCTGTCAGTGTTTTGATATATACATGATTCCTTAAATACCAATTCGCCAAATCTTTTTTTGTTGAACTTTTCACGCTTATATGATTATATGGATGCATCATCTTCAATTTATATCTTCGAGTGAGCTGCTTTATTTATATCTTCGATCTGCTTTATTTATATCTTCGAGGGAGCGTGTCCATCTTGTAGCTGCTAGTTACTCATTTAATGGGGTTACGTCTGTGTTTCTGTCTGTGACATCAACCATCAATACTTCTCATTTTGTTTTGGTTTACTCATTTTTTGAAAAATGTTCATTTTTGCCTTTAATATGCAAAGTTGGATTACGAAAGAGACGGACAAGACTGGAAGAAGATTATAAGATCTTCGGCTACTGATTGGAATACAAATGTTGACACAATAGTGCAATGGTCTCCCTTTTCAAGTGAAGCAGATCTTCTTGATCAGGTATTGTCGTGGCATTGTGATTTTCTTAGTGGTATCATTTGACTCTAGATTTTCATATTATTTCTTTTTAGATACTCATGAATGAAAAGGTACTTATAGTGGGCAGGATTTTATGAAATGTAAAGTTCCTTTTTTGGTTTCCGGAGCAGGTTGATGTTGTTCATTGTTAGTTTGCTCTTTTCCTGAAAGAGAAACAAATGTTCTAAACTGTTACAGATTTAGGGACTTCGTATTTTGGCATCAGAACATGTAACATTTCTCATGATCACCAGATTTCTTATGAATGCTCCTTCAGCTAAATTTACCCAAACCCATAGAAACCAGAATGACCTTTTTTGTGTTTCAATGAAGGGTAGAGTTTTGAAATCAATCTTGCTCTTTGTAGAATATGTGATAATTTTATCCACCTTATATGCTGTAATGAAGCGATTTTAACTGTTAAGCTTGCCCTTGTTTCATTTAATGACTAATTGTTGGTATTGTTAATTCGATCCAATAATATTGCTTTATTTACTGCTCACAGTTCAACCAGATAAAAGATCATGGCACTCGAATCTTCATATACAATTTGTGGGAGGATGACCAAGGGCTTTTGGAACTTGATTTTGATGTTGATCCACATGTATGGGCTAAAAATTGTTCTCTTTAATTGGTTTTTTTTAATATTCAACACAATTTCTGAACTATTGCATGATAAACTTGTTCTATAATTTAGGATATCCAAATAAGAGGAGTCAACAGGGATGAGAAACATATACAAATGGCCCAACAGTATCCTAATTCCAGGCACTTTCTGACTTATCGGCATTCGTTACGGGTAAATGGGCAATTCTCTTTTTCTTGTTTTATGATATTGCAATAAAATTATGGTTTGGAACTTTTTGGTGTTTCTTAGGTACGTCTTTGTAATTTGCAATTGCAAATTTGCTGAAGCTCGTTGTGGGCTAAAGATTTTATGTTTTTTCCCAGTTCAAATATAATTCTACGTAGGTGTACCCAAAAATGAAACAAATGGGATTCGCCATTGCCAATTTTGGAAATCAGATTGCTGGTTGACCATGTATTTTGTTGTTTGTTTAATGATTGTACCATTGAGTAAGTTTTAGTGTCTTAATCTTTGACCATAAGTGTATAATAAGGTTTGTAGGAAAGTAGTCTCCGGTTTGTTTGGTGGAGCTTGGTATAACTATTTTATATTTCCGTTCCACGTCCTTTAGATTTTGCCTTTTGGTGCTGTTGTGTTGTTGAGGGTTCTTATTTTGGTATCAGGTTTACCCATCTTTCTATACTTGTGTAAACCTTACTTTTACTTGTCAGGGTAATGTTCTTTTAGAAAGATATGTTATTGTGATTCGTCCGTAGGTCTTGAATGGTTAGGCTAGGTTGAGTTTTTCCATACTTGTTGACGTCCTACTTGCTATGTCTAAATAAACTCAGCACAGCTTTTTATCACAAGCTTAGACACTAAATATTTCTTTTTTTTTTTAATTAAAAAGAAAATTGGTGCATAAATAGCAGTTTCATTTAGCTGGAAAACAGAATGGAAGTCTTGTATGCTTGGTAAAGGAACATGGTTTGGATGGATGTTTCTGCTTTTCATAACCTCAGTTTTAGAAAATGCTCCCTTCACTAAACTGTTGTGCGGAATTTGTTGAAGTGCAATATTGTTTTTTTTTTTTTTTTGGTAACGCCGGGAACCCCATCAGAAATGGGTAAACCCACGCTACAATATTGTTGTTATAATATAATTACTTTTATTTTTAAAATAAAAGTTAGTTCAGAAAAAAAGAAGAAGAAGGTATTTGTCATGTTATTACAAGCTAAGCTTTGTTTTTCGTTCGGGGTTCCAGCTCCGAGTATGATTTCAATTTAGTGTGAATAGTTGATACTTCTTTAACTTAGTTATGTTTAATTTTCTAACCTCCAATTTTGTTTGTTAGTTTGTATTTTTAATACTTTTCTAAATCTCAGAGTTATGCATCGATACTCTATCTTCGAGTTCCACCTAGCTTCCGGATCATTTTGCGGGGTAAAGATGTCGAGCACCACAACATAGTAAATGACATGATGATGTCCCAGGAAGTCACTTATCGCCCGCAGTCTGGGACAGATGGTGTCCCTAGAGATTCTACTGTAATATTCTAAAAACTTGCGGTTCCTTTTCTACGGCCAGGATTAGATTTCTGCTGACTCTTATTGTGATAATCAGATGATGGCTGTTGTAACTGTTGGTTTTGTGAAAGATGCGAAGGCTCATATTGATGTTCAAGGATTTAATGTTTATCACAAAAACCGACTTATTAAGGTTTGTTGACTTCTTATTTCTGATATGTGCTCCAGCTTTGTTGACATGGATATTATGTGTTAGTCTTTTTATTTAATCTTGGGCCTATCTGATTTTTTCATTTCTTTTGCTGTGTGTAACTCTATCACCATAAATATATTACATATGTAAATTATAGGTTTGAATAATATGCTAAACTATATTCCCCCTCTCTTATTTTAACTATTTCCTGTTTTCGAGGGTATAGTTTAAGTCTCCTTTTTTGGCTTGCTGGATAGAATACATTGCAATGGTATGAGTTACAGCATAGCCTTTAGTAAATGTCACCTTTCTTTTGCAGCCATTTTGGAGAGTTTGGCATCCTCCTGGAAGTGATGGCCGTGGAGTCATAGGTTTGAATCTTCCTTTCTCTGATTTACTGCTTTTCACTTTGTGTTGTGTCTTAATTTGCTTAGTCACTCAGGTGTTTTGGAAGCAAATTTTGTTGAACCAGCACATGATAAGCAAGGGTTTGAGCGGACAACGGTTCTTTCAAGACTGGAGGCAAAATTAATACAAATGCAGAAGAATTACTGGTCTGTTTTGGCAGTGACTTATGCATCTTTCCTTCCTATGTTTCTTTTGTGACTTGTGAATATTTAACTTTCTTTTCTCGAAATTTCAGGAATACTTACTGTCACAAAATTGGCTATAATCCACGGCGCAGTAAAAAGCTAGCGGAGAGAGGTAACTCAAATCTTTAGCTTGCTTTTTTTTTAGTTGGGATGGAAAATTAGTTGGGATGAAAGTGTTTGGGTGTGAGGATGTGAAGCATCGTAGAGATAATACGTGGTGGTTAGTCTTGAAACTATTGTAGACTTTTTAGCTCTTTTGCTTACAACATACATATATGCAGAAGGTTCTCCAGAGAGCCTTAATGGGGAACATATAGAGTCGAATGGCAAGGCACCCCGTAAAGAAAATAGATCTTCTGCAAGCGCAAAGTCGGGACTGAAGAAGCAGGATGAGCATTTGGAAAATCAGAATAGCAGAAGCAGGAGATCTGGAAGGAGAAATGTCTATGCAGAAGAATCATCACCTTCTGCTGAGTATGTCAGTGATCATGATGGTCCTTATTCTACTGACCCTAATGCTGATGAGGGGCCTTCTGCTGATAAGTCATTACCCTCAAAAAGGTCACATGGGAAAGATAGCGCTTCAATTCCCAGTTCATTTAAACATACGCCGTCTCGGGGAACAAGGAAAAATGCATATGAAGGTAGAACGCCTGGAAGCACAACCAATGTGGAGGTAAATTATAGTGTTTACTTTCTCCTTTGGTATATATATATATATATATATATATATATATATATATATACACTAGCATGGGGGACCGCACAAGGTGCGGTCTGACCCAGACAATGTGTCCACAAATGACCGAGAACCCAGAAAAAACAGAGCCAAAATCTGGGATTCCCCTTAATATATAGTTAGAGATATATATATATATATATATATATATATATATATATATCTATTATTTCATGTTGTGCATCTGGAAACTCCTTTTGAATTTGTGCTCTAGTAAAAGCCCATCAAAAGTGAGATTTGGTGATTAGGAGTATCTGATACCTGCGAGGAGAAACTTATACTTTCCGATCCACATCCACTTAATGAACAGATCACAAAAAGGAACTGGAAATAGTTGAGGAACAAATGCTTATATTTAATTCTGACTAACAAGTACTCACTTTTGTTTAAGATGCACCCGCAAATTGCTGGCTGAAAATACCTTAAAACCAAGTGGGAATCATCCCTACTTAATGTTCCACTATAATCATTACTACTGTAGCCAAAGCCAAGCTACAGGTAGGAGACGTCGTCTCCTGATTAAAACTTGTGAATAGAGGAACGACTGAAAAGCTTTTTAACAGTTTGAAGAGGAAGATAACATGTCCTTGTGGGCTTTTGTTCGTTTCTGTCCTGATGCACTCCTTTAGGTTTTCCTTTGGTTATGTTTCTTGGAACCCGGTTTGAAGGTAGATAGTGGATGTATGTGGGTTAACATGTGACTGTACTGTATAAGTTGTGTACAGCTGCAATGATTGCGATGCTGATAAAGCCTGCTATTACAGCAGTTTTAGAATAATAAAACGTGAATTAGTTTCTCTTATTTGTTTCCTTGTCTGTTTCCTATGGCGATTCAGCTTCCCTTTTATGTATTTTTCTCCAGTCTGTTTGCTCCTTTCTATTGTTTGTTCTATCTGTTAAGTGAGATGTTCAACGCTTGAGCTTTGTGGCCCTTTACTGCTTTCTACGTGGTTGAATCCTATTGTACAGCTATTTAAACTGTAATCAAGCTCGGTTAGTCCTCCTGTCATGTTGGTTTTAGCTTTTTTTTAGGGATTTTTTTGGGTCAAATTTGTAAACAATTTACTGTATTAGTCTATTTTACTTTTGATTTCATTTTAACCACTAAATGTTTCCCTTGCAGGAGGATGATATTGGGCATGATTATTCACAGTCCTTGCAGCGTTTGGAAGAAGAGAATCGTGTTTTAAAAGAAAAGTAATAATTGTGTTTTGACAATCAAATTCTTGAGGGAATAAAGCATTTCCGTGCTTTATTATTATTTTGATGTTGGTTTATTTGTCAATCATTCAGATTGAGAAGGAAAGAGGAAGAGTTTTTGGGTGATCTGTTGAAAGATTTAGACAAGGAAAGAAGTAAATGCAAGTCAATGGAGACTGAGGTAAGTAATCTTGCAGTTGAGTATAAAGAAAATGTACTGAGGGTCATTTTCGCCTGAATATGCAATGTTCAAATTATAGAAAGGCTTTAAGCTTGCATGACCATGTTTCTACTAGTATATTTTGTAGTTGATTACCTAGCGAAGGAGTGCGATAAGAGGGTTGTGTTATTTTGAAATTATATAAAATATGTTGTCTATGATTCAACTGCCATACTATACATATAGCCAACCCCACAGTGGGATAAAGGCTTCTTGTTATTGTTCTGTTACCATGTTAAGAGTTGGGGCAGTTGCATGGATGGATGTTTATACCGGTGCTTTCCGAATTTTGTCATTTCTGTCTTCGATTTCTCGGTCTGAATATTGTTAATCAAACTACCCCTTAGTTTTCTGGATGAAGTGTCTCTGATATTTCAGTAGCTTATAAATGAGTTATATTTGATGAGAACTGCATTAATTCTCATTATTATGCATCTCCAAAGGGGAAGAAAATGATCTTTGAACCATCTGATTTGCTTTGATGTTCTAGATGATTTCAGAGGGCTGACAGTTGTGTTGTTTCTGGGGCTAAAATTATTATATTTTCATGTGATCAGTTGCAGGAAGCAAGGGAAAAAATTCAAGAACTCAGCAAGGAACAAGACAGTTTGATAGATTTATTCTCAGAAGAGAGACAGCGGCATGAAACAGAAGAAGAAACTTTGAGGAAGAAGTTGAAGGTCAGAATCTTTTGTCAAGTTACGACCTACCTTTTTTGTTGTGATTTTATAAATTTCAAGAAATTTGACTGTTCCTCAGCAAAAGAGGTTTACTTGTCTTAGGCTACCCACATTTAATTGGAAGGGAGGGAAGGAACTATTGTGAAGAGAAAGAAATAACTTTTATTAGTATCTTCTTAATCAATGGGATATGTTGCCAGTCACAACTAAATCATAAACGCTCTATGATAGTGACTTGTGATACAGTTGGTATAATTGCCTTTGTCTGAGGTGAAGGGAAGGGATGGTGGTAGGCTAATGTAGGAAGCTTCAAGTTAAAACTTGACGAGGTGTACTATTTAATTAGCTGAACCATAACGAACTGAATCCCTCTAATGATATTTTCCCACGTTGGGAAGCAAAGAGGAGTCCGTTGTTTACCTCTTCCAGGGATGAACCGAAAAAAAAAAAAAAGTTCTGAATGATGTTTATTGACAGACATGATATGTAGATCTTTGACAGGAGAAAGTTGCTAGATGCATATTGTTTTAATAACTAGACATATAGCACTAAATTTGTTGGGTATGCCATAAGTTTTGATGATTCTGTGAATTTCCTCTTCTCAGGACGCATCGAATACCATTCAAGAGTTGGTTGAGAAGGTAAGACGCCTGGAGAAATTGAAGTCCCCTTCCAGTGGCAGAGCAAAGTAGTAGTGACTGTACATAGTAGTCCTTCGACTGAGTCCGTTTAGTATCAATCTTTGATGCATCTAAATCAGGCTGAGTAGGTTCATGTACCACCAATTTTCCTATGGTGATTCTGATCATAAATTTCCCTATTTCCCACTGCGGGTTCGAGCCGGAAACATGGTACTAATAACTCGTGGAGAAGGCATGAACTGCTTTTGAAGCTATAACACGGCATTAGATGAACTTGGGTGCAATTGAGCGAGCTATACATTCAATGCAACCTTTGTTCCTAAATATATAGTAGTAGTGAAAGTACAGAACAGTTGGAATGGTGTTCGTTATTAGTGTAATTAGTAAATGCCAAGCTAACTTCTCTACATGTTGGCATGATTTTTGTAGTTCACAGTCCTTGTGTGTGTGTGTGTGTGTGTGTGTGTGTGTGTGTGTGAGCAGATTTTCACATTAGTTTTCTTATTCGGGTTTAGATGTGTTGGATGCTAAATCAGTGACTAGGATATTCCAGTGATTGATACACACTAGTTTGGTGTACCAAAAGGAAAAAAATTTGAGTTAAAAGCAGTGTGGGATGAATTTGAGAGAGATGCTATATATATATATATATATATATATATATAATCAGCAGGGTCATGATTTGCACCATGCGTCTTTTGGTTTCAGCCATTGTCGCCACTTTTGGGTAAAACAGTGTCAGAAAACTGGCCACTGTTTGTTGCCAGTAGCTGAATGACGTGGCCTATCTGTGCACGTAATTACAAACCAACTAATTGGACGATGGCATTGAGGTTTTTTTTTACTACTATACGACTATCAGTTGAAAATAATTTTTTATTTATTTTTTATTTTCCTTAAAGAAAATTAAGGTTGGGAATGTCAAAAAAAAAAAAAGAAGAAGAAAAAAAAATCTCCCTAAAAAAAAGTGGAATGCCGCGTTAACCATTTTCTTTCAATTTAATCTCCCTCAAAAAAAAAAAATTCTTTTTGGAAAATCGTTTATCACTTCCACTGTTTTTCTTCTCATATTTATTAATTAATATATTAACCCTAATGAGTCAATATAGGCATTTTCACATTTCCGATATAAAGAAGAAAAAAAAATACACATTGAAAACAAGTTATAAAACACAAACTAGAATGCGTGGAGAAAGAGTTCTCATTTGTGATGGAGACTGACTTGTTTGGTGGAAAAAATTACACCCACTACCCCCCCGCGAGTTTTTAACATTCACCTCACTATCTCAGTCATTGTCTCACGTGACGTGAAACCGAATAGCCCCATAGTCCATAGATAGAAAAGTAGCCCCTATAAATCATACTTACTATAATAGGACACTCCCCCCAGTCCCCACAACCTATGTCTTAGTCACCCAATTAATCCGAAATTCCGTCAAGAATGAGAATGGGAGAGGTGCATTATTTTTAACTTACTGTAAATTAATTAATTATCCAAGTGAGATGTGTATTAAATTTCAGGTGTCCTAACTGTACAAAATAAATTACAAACTGCTAAAGTACTACAGCTTCATTTATAGATTTTTGTGGGATAAATCACTAATTAATTTCTAATGTCTGATTGTCTATCCAAAAAAAAGGAGTGATTAAAACCACTTAAGATGCTGCCAGTGATGGAATCGGCTACTCAGATTTGGAGCGACTGACTATATATACATAATCAAGATCGATAGTCGAATACATATGACGTAAAGTTAACAATAACTACTATTAAAAGAGGCTTTCCGACCAGATAGAGGGGCTCGGTACCCCCCCTCCCGAGCCCCTTAATTCCGTTCCGGGTGACGGCGTCACCATAACCATTAAACGGAACCAAACCAAACTCCGCCGAGCCAGAGACAAGGGACCACCTAATCAAATCCCTCTCTTCCAACAAGTTCTTGCCTTCTTGGTAGCTTCCCTTTAATTTATCATCAGCACAGCAATTTACAGTTTCTCTTCGCAAGTGTAAATGTTAAGTTCCATGAATGCGTTCCGAAATATTTACTCTTTTTTTTTCCACTTTTTTTTTTTTGTATGAAGAAGAATTGGTGACTAAACAGATGAATTAAATTTTAACCGAATTTTAAAGTGTCTTTTGAATTATCATCACCTCAGAATTTTTACTACCAATAATACTCCTAAAAAAGCTTCTCATAGGCATATGAAGAAAACGGGAGTAATTGGACCAGCAAAAACTATTCATTAATTAAAGTAAAAGCAAGATCAGGTTCTGGACACACACGTACTGTCCTTTAGTTCGGCTCGTGGAACCTTTGCTGATACATAAACGTTGACGGTAACGCCGTTAATTCCCCCAAATCGTTGATGTTTTCAAATGCTTATATCCATGCACCAGGGATTCAATTTTAGAAATAATTCTTCATATTGAATTATTAAGATCTAACCATACTCTGGGGATTGAAGAGGTTGCAAATTTGATTATGTTCATACTCAAAACATGCAACAATTCCTTAATTAATTTATTATCGTCGTTGATAGAATTGAACTAAAATTACCATTGCTAGGTAAATTAAACAAGTCGGTCTCATATTATTATAACCACAGGCAACAGAATTACTGTGACTCTGTGAACTAAAAAAAAAACAAGCACATCAATAGCACGTGCACTTTTACTAACCGCGGTTAACTTACACCACAGGGGACCAATGCTATTTAATCTTAACTACTCTCCGCCCAATTTCTCTGCACAACAACATTCCACTTTGCCCCAGAAACACCCAAATATTTCAAAATCCCCGGCCACCCCACACCCACACCCACACACACTCACACACTACGCCTTTCTCTTTCACACGCACACACACACACATTAGGCGGGGTGGTCATCACATTTATATACCACTACACACATTCATTCATTCATGCCTCTTTAAAGTTAAATCCCCAGAAAAAACACACGCACACACGCACTGTTCTTTCTGCTTTCTTCTTCCCTGATTAGGGAAAAAAAAAAATTAGGAACACGCCCCCCTTCTTGAATTTAAGTGCTGTGTATGAAGAACTATGAAGGAGTATGGTGATTATTTAATGGGTTTTTAGTACTACTACTATTACATATATTCTTTCTTCCGCCCCCCTTTTTTTCTAGAACCCATCAGACGGAGAACAAATTAGTCCCATCAGAGTGTTTTGGACGAATTTCCGTTTCTTCAACTTGTAGTTCTTCTTTCCATATATCGCTGTCCCTTTTCCTATTCGGACCCTTCCTTTTTGCTCGAATTTTAAAGTCAAATTTCCCTTTGTTGGTTTCAGCATAGTATATATATATGTTAGGCCTCTTCCTGCCTCAGATATTTATCTTTCTCTTTTTAGTCTAGTTTTCACCATCCGAGTCAACTCAGTAGACTTCTGTTGTTTTTGTGAGGAAGAAGACTCGTTGTTGACAACTTACTGTGCTGTTGTGGCTTCTGAGTAGAAACTGTAGAAGTGGTATTATATAATTTTAATTTAATGGTGGGAATGAGTTGTGCTTTGGAATCATGTAGACGGCGGGGAGCGCCGATATTTGCTGCTGCTGCGTTGTTGTCGTTGATTCTCCTCTTAATCATTGCTTTCGCCTCCCTACAACAATCACAAGGTCCGGCCCCTCTTCTCTCGTCGGATTTATAATTGATTTTTTTGGTGTTTTTGTTAAAAAACCCCAGTTTGATTATTTTTTTAATCGGAAGAAGACGAACACAGTCCATTAAAATATTCTGTCTCCTCTTCTGTAGAAGCATAATTTTTTATTATGTTCCTCGTCTTCTTTTAAGGTTGGTTCTGTAAGTAGTAATTGTTTTATGTTTATGAACCCAGATGAGAATCACTCAAAGGAATCATCGAAGGAAGTGCATGATGAGAAGCCATGGAACAAAGCGCCCTTCTCTGCTGTTTCCTCAACATCAAAATCACACAGGAAGATTTTGGTTGCTGATGAGAATCGGAGCGGTAAGCTTTATCTTTCATCATAAGGGCCCCGCCATTAATCCTCTCTGTTCTTGGTTTTAAGTTTCAACATAATATTTTTTATAGTGATGGATGTTGAAAATGAAAACCCAGAAGTCTCTGCTGTCCTACGGTCTTAATTTTCAGTGTTTGGATGTGTATTTTTTTGACGATTTTCCTGCTTTTGAGGTGTGGGGAAGGGGAGATTGTCGTCGCCATTTTTATGCAAACCCAACACTTACTGTCACACTGTTCATATTCAGCTCTGTGTTTGCAGACTGCAGACTGTGTGATATTTGTATTGTAGCTTATTAGCTAGCACAACTACCACTGTACCTCTATTGCCTCCCTTTGTAGTCTACTAGTTTCTGTATGCTGGCCACTGTATTCATCCTTCTTTTACGCTCTTCTGTTCCAGTACGGGTTTTCTGTTTCAAAACAGGTGGCTCGTTTCAGCTTTTTCTTTTTGGTCTCTCTTTGTCTTTGGCTCTTTTGCCACTCTCTCTTTCCATTTCTTTGCAACACAGCACCCTTTTCTGATTTATAGTCTTTCATCCTTCACCTTTTGTGCTTTTCATTCCAGTGTAGTAGTAGCTGTGGTATATTTAATATGGGGTTTTGAAGGTTTTGACTAATATTTCTATGAAATGCAATGGGTTTTGTGCGAATGATATTTGACCTGTGAAGACTATGAATTTGCACTTTTTTGAGTCTTGTTTGAGAGGCAAAAAAAAAGGCTTGAAAAAGAAGGCTAATGGATGTGTACATGATGCATGGGGTTTTTGTTTGATGGGATGGAATTGACCTTTGGGAAGAATATTGAAGATATGGTAAAATGATTGGAATTCTGTGTATAGGGGCTCTACTGTTTGTGTACAGTGCAAAAGATTTGATAAAGAGTATATACTGGAATTTGCAGACATCTTCAGCATTATTTGTTTACCACTCCCCAGCCATTGTCCCTGGAAATACTGAATTCAAAGTCTACACCTTACTGGCTTCTTTTTTACTACATTGGTGTTGTTTCAACTCTTCATTTCTTTGTAAAATTGGTCATTATGGATTTGATTGATGCATTCTTCCATAGTATGTTTAGCTTTTTGTAATGGAATTGAATTATTCATTGATTATACAATGTGTAAAAGGAAATTCAATGTCAAGGAAAGAAAAAATCCCCAATTTCTAGGAGAACCCTTTTTGGTTCATGTGTCACTTTCTTTTCAAGCCTTTACATGCACTTCCATTTGGTTTGATGTATCATTTTAGTCACATTTTTTGGTACCCAATTTCATTAAGTAAGATGTGGGTTCATTATCATCACTTTTTTTTTTGAGCCCCTTCTTCATATAGCCAATGACTGATGTCTGTGAATCTTACCCTTTTGTCTGTATGTGTGGACTATTTTGTACAGCAAACAAAGTGGAAACGAACCGGATATGGGGGGACAAGTGTTCAATATCCGACGTTGTCATAAACCAGGGCCCAACTGAACCATTACCCAATGGGATTCCGACATATACAGTGGAGATCATGAACGTCTGCGTCACCGGCTGTGACATCTCCGGCATCCACCTGAGCTGTGGCTGGTTCAGCTCCGCCCGGCTCATCAGCCCCAGGATCTTCAAACGTGTCCGTTACGATGACTGCTTGGTCAACGAAGGGAAGCCACTCATTAACGGACGTACCATTTCCTTCCAGTATGCCAACTCCTTCCGTTACCCGCTCTCCGTTTCCGCCGTTAACTGCTAAATATAGTAATTAAAGCTTTAGAATTATTAGGATTATTTAGGGAGGAGAAAAGGAAACAGAGTTTTTTTTTTTCTCACCTGACACACAAATTTGCCAAAAAGAGACAATTTTGACTTACAGGGAAATTAAAATATTTTGACTTTTTGGGGGTACAATGTCTTTGTTGTACGTCGTGCTGCGAAAGTCGTACATTTGTGAGTATTTGACTTTAGCTTTTTTGGGATGATTATGGGGATTAGAGAAGGAATTTGAGGCTGAAAATTGTAATTAAGCAAGGGCATTTTATATACTTTGATGATTATTTATCCTATGAAGAATTCTCAAATGGTGTAGCTAAGCTAATCCTTCCTTTCCATGAATGTTTTGTTTATTAGCTTATACTTGAATGTTTATTTATCGAGAAATTACTAATGTGTGTCATTGTGCAAAATAAAATTAAAATAAAAAAGGAAAAAAAAAATAAGATAAGCAATTTTGAAAAGATACGAGCAATTTGTATAGCCGTTTCATTATTGATCTGCACTTTGTAAACGTAATAAAAATGATAATGATGTTAAACGGGTCGTGTTGATTAACTTGTCTCACTAAGGTAAAAACAAAGCCACAATGTGATGAATGATGATGATAATCTGTTGTTGAATTTCACTAAATACTTATATGTATTTATCTTTACATTGCGAGCTTTGGACAAATTAAGAATGGGGAATTAAATTTAAGCTGTCATTATTGGGGTTTTCTAAAAAAATAATTATCTTTAGTTTTCTAAATCATGGCCACATCTATATCTTACTGTATTAGAAACAAAAACCACACTTGAAAAAGCACTACCATTTGCCATGTGGCATTTCCACATCATATTTTTAAAATAAATTTTTATTTACACATCAATTTCCTAGACTTAAAAGGCAAATGTAGTCCAAATTAATCCACCACCACCTCCTATTTTTGCTATAAAAAAAAATCACGGTTTCATAAAAAACTAAAATCCTCGTTCCCATCTCCACGACAATCGACTCTCTAATCAATCCTTTCTCCATAATAAAATAAATAAATTCCTCATCAATCATCAATTGAGAATATGTGGTGAAATATACTCCTTTCCTATTAGCATGTTCAATCTTTTCGTTGGTAATGATCAACTACATCCTAATTGGATAAAATTTTGATTTCAAAAAATCTTCTCTTTATCTCTTTATATAAACACAAAGGAAAAAAAATAATTTCTCATTGATCTTGCTTCGTCCGTTGTGATGGTGCCATTATAGATATTAAAATTTAAATGATTTTATATCCACAGATCATTTGTACGGTTTTTATTTATTTTTTGTTTTTCCCGTTCAAGAATAGTGTTATTACTAATATTTTTATGCGTATACCCATTGTCAGGTAATATGATGTGATTTCTTATATGGTTAGTTAGCCTATAATTGTTGTATGATTTTAGTTCTGTTTGGATTGAATTGATCAATTGGGTTTTTGTTACAAAGTGTGATTTTTTTAATTTCTTTTTTATCTTTCATTCAATTAGAGTGGTTTTCTTTTTTTTAATTATGGAGTCTCAGTTTTTTTTTTTCGTATATGGTCAGTTATAAATTGTATTTTTTCTTTGTTTAATTGCTTTTGATTTGGTTTCATACTTCCAGTTGACCAATTATTATTATTATTATTTTGTTGCAAATGAAGCGCATTTTTTTTTTGGTGTGTGGTCGGGGTTTTAAGAATATACTTTTTTAGATTTGGTTTTTGGACTTTTTTGAGTTCCTCATCATATAAATAGTTCAGGTTGCTTCTTCTAACTGATTTATGGGGAAGCCTTTTATGAATTTGAAGTGGAGAGGGAAGGAACGATGTTTCTATGTTTATTTGTGTTTTTATACATCATTTTTACCTACAGGAAAAAAATAATTTCTCAATTTTTAATGGCCTCTTTTACTTACTTTTTTTTATTTATTTGCAATGGTGAGGTGAGTTCTTTTTTACTATAACTTGAAACCTATGCAAATTTACATTAATTTTCATTCTCATATTTGTGATCAACCAGTTTCAACAATTAACCAGTTTCAAAATCGTATTTTTGATATTTTACTACTTATAAACCTTTGGAAGAAACATCGTAAACCTATGCAAAATCAATACTAATGTGTGTCATTGTATATCAATTTATCTTGATGTAATCTTAACCCAACTAAATTGATTTGACTATGCAGTTTGTTGTTTATCAATTTATCTTGATGTACATCTTAACCCATGGTTACAAACTTACAATACTCAGAGTGATTATCTTCTCAAACTAACTTCCAACTCAAATTTTAAAAACGATTTCTAAAGATTCTCGGCCAATTTTTGTGCCTTTTAATTGAAGTAGTCGGCTCAAAAGCGACCCATCAAAGATGCAATCTTGAGTTTGAGTCATTCGTGGTCACGGTGTTGTTGCTGAATTTTGGAGCATAAGCACATTGGATTGTTTTAGAGTTGTCGTAAATAAATGATAATGATCGATGTCTCTCATCGATCGTCCATTTACAATATAGGGGATCTTCTTATATTAATGAGAGTCTAAAAAGGATTTTAAGATTCTGGCTTAAATGCGACGACATCATTAAGCAAATTCATTTTTAAATTCTCTTCTTATTATTGGCTTTGTTGATTCTGAGATTAAAGTGTTGCTTATCAATGTTGCAATATATGCGCAGATTTTGAATTGCACATCCAAAAAAAGGCATTATGATACAGCCGTGAACTTCAATGGAGTTCATGTCTCGACTACTCGGTACGTACTTTGAAGTGATATCCTTTACTTGGTATAATTATTTTATTTAAACATTCTTACCACTGGTTAATTGACATGAATTTTAATCCATGCATTGGTCATTTTGAGATAAAAAAATCTAAAACACAAAAGTTTATTTTTGACTTCTAACAAGGAATTTTTCTTCATTTGCATTTTGGAAGGAGAACGACCAAATTCTTCAAAAATAATTATAGATGGATAATATATTGTGATTGATGGATCCTCCAAATAAGTACTGACTTGAAATTATTTGATGCTAAAATATGTTTCCAAGAATTTGATTGATACAAAAATAGTACATACACTGTATTAGCTGGAAAAGAGTGAGAACAATGGTAGAAAAGTTTGTACGAAAAAGGAGAAGGCGAAGAGTATTGGGAGATTTAGCAGTTACTCAGGTCTATATTTGGATTTGGACCTCTTCTTAAAAAAACACTGCAGATCCGGAGCAATAAGATCTCTCCTCATCCAACGGGTAAGCAGTCGGAGAAAGTCTCTGACAAACTCTTTCATTAAAAATTGTTGGTGGGATTATTTCTTTCCATGTTTATTCATTTACCATTCATGTGAATTGTTACAACAATATAATACTCCCCCTGTCCCATAATTATTGTCCAGTTTTATTAAAATAATTGATTTTATTTTTGGTCAAATTTAACTATATTTTACCTTAAACAACCGGATATACCCCTACATAAGTAATTGTTTAACCACTAAGATTTTATGGATAATGTTTTTTACTAAGGACAAATGTGTAACTTGATCCATAAAAAGTCAAATTGGACAATAATTTTGGGACAAAATTTTTTGGGTAAAGTGGACAATAATTATAGAACGGAGGGAGTATTTCATACGGTATTCACATCTGCTATATCTGAAAATTGTCGTTTTTATACTTATTGTTCCTTCTCATTTCAACATTGAATAGAGGGGGTCGTATTTTTTATTGTTTGTAGTTTAACATTAAGTATTAACTAGATGTCCGGGGGCCCCTTTACTTTAATTTTGTGTTAATAGATAAATGAATTCTTGATTTGGAAAAAAATAAAATAGCTACACATTTGGTTTTGTTTTTCCCTTTTTTAGCCAAAAATAAAAATAAAAAAATCATCTTAATAAAAGGGATAGGTTTATGGGCGAATTTAAATGCTATTTTAATTTGATTGATAAATGATAAATGTTAAGAGATAAAATTGTGTAGCTATTTTTGTAAAATAGCTTTCGTTTCTCCGGATAAGAATTTTTTTTTTCTTTTAAAAAGGGATGACATGTGGCAGAATGGTTAATGCAATATGGTGTATTTGGAGCAAAAAATTTTAATAAGAAGTTGCCACATCAACATCTTGTATTCTGTTTTAATAGGGTAAAAAGGGATTAATGAAGAAATATTGGTAAAGAACTAAAAAATATGGTAATTGTATATATTTAAAAAAGTATAAAAAAAGCCAAAAAAAAAAATAGAGATCACAAGAAACCAATCAAGAAAAAAATGGTATAGAAAGGGGATCAACAGAAATGATGCAACGAGATGGAAGAAACCACATCCGGCGCGGTTCAAGATCATCTCAAGGGATCAGACTCCAAGAGGCTATTCATGAGCATAATTTATATTAATTTGTTTATAACATAATATCCATGATTTTTTGACCCGTACAACGTACGGGTTTCATCTAGTATTTTAAGAGATAGAAGATCTGTTTCGAGGATATGAAACTTTCATCCGGAATCATGTTCAAAAAAATTGTTATTCATCAATCGAAGTGCACAAAAAAAATAATAATATAATTACTTACTTCTATTCTAAAAAAAAAAATCCAAATCGAGTTTTATGAATTGTATAAAAAATAATAAAAATAACAAAGCTCAATATGAATGAATTTTTCGAAATAGGAAAATATATTAGTCACGACAAATTCTACGAAAATAGTACTCATGCGCAAAAGATTACTCGTATTCACAAAGATGGCGGAGTTCATATATTTTAGATTAAGGGACAAAATTAAATTAACCAAGTAAGTGTATTGGTTTTTAACTTTATAAAATCTATTCTACACATCATTTATAACCCAACTTATTTAGAAATACTTTATTAATGTCTTACACATTTTTTGTAATTATTAGAAGCAGTATAACATTGCGAGCTTCAGATTTATTGTTTTACGATGTCTTTTATGCGGCACAAAAACTAATAAATTTGATAAGTTTTACATATAAGAAACAAAGAGTATTTTTACTTTTTAATGCATTAAAACCACTACAAGAAAGAAATCTGTATAAGAACAAAACACTGTTTCCAATTTTTGTATATAAAGTAATCGAAAGATTTATATACTTATTATTATCACCATTGCAATTTGGAAAATTTCCAGAGGAGACGCATATAGTAGTTGAACGAGATGTAAACTTGAGGGGTGTTGATGTTATGTGACGGCATTTGCCACAAAATTTCCAACAAATTTAATGTATTTTTTTTTTTTTTTGGAAATTTAATGTAAAAGAACTGCTCAATTTTATTTTTTTATTATTAATATATATGTATATTTTTTTTAACTGCACGAAAGGTGGATTCCATTAAATAATTCGAATGATTAAAGGAATTAGAGCCACTAAGATTACTAATCTACAAGGTATAAATAAATTGTATCTATGACATTTAAAATCCGTGAACGTGTTTTGGCAGAAATATATGTTACAAGGATGTACTTTTAACTTTTCTAATAACATCTACTATCCTCATTTTTTACTAATATTTTTCAATACATATATTTTTAACATTTTTCACTCCACCATCAAACTCTTATTTAAGAGTTCTTGTCCATGAACAAACAACCCAGTTTCAAACCCGATTCCGGCGGAAAGGATGATAAGGGGAAGGGGGGGGGGGGAGGAGAATTAGAGGGTTGAGATGTAGAAGAAAAGTGGGAAAGAGAAGAAGAAGGAAAAGGGGAAGCAGCCTCATGACAAATACACAGCACCCTCTACTTGACAAGGCCCAACTCCAAATAGAAGAAGGCCGAGGCCAACCCAGTAAGGGAAGAAATTTCCGAAAGTATATACTCCCTCCGTCTCATAATTATTGTTTAGTTTGGGTTTTTACTTTTAGTATAATTTGTACTAGAAATTAAAACTTAAATTGGACAATAATTTTGGGACGGAAGGAGTATTATATTGTAGATGTTCTCTTTTTAGTCTTCTGAAAGAAGATTTGAAGTTTTGTGCTTTAAAGTCAACTTTTTAAAAATCATAACATTTCCTAGATTTCAATCCACAAACCCCTACATTCATTGATTCATTCTTTTCGAGTTTTGATCAATTCAAAAGTTGTTTGATTCAGTCATTGGTTCCATCCTCCAACCCCCAAAAAAAAAGAAGCCAAACTTGCACAGTTGCACTTGGAGACCAGATTCTATTTTCTTCCTTGTTAAATTGGTCCTGTGGAATAAAAGGAGGTAAAATCCATAATATTTGATTGGAGTAGTGTAGAAGGGTTTGTTTTAGGATTATGAAAATGTCTGTTTATCTACCTTTGTTCCTCTGGTTTATATGTTAAACAATAGCTTTGGTGCATATGGCCTTTTTAATTTCTTGAAGAAACTAAAAGCTTGAATGTTACTCCTTCCGTGCCAGTTTAATAAAGGTCATGTTTGTTTCGACTTTTGAGAACTTGCACTTATGATGCAGCAATTTTTTATGTAAAATTTTAATTGTTACATGTATTTCAAGTGGAGATAGAAATCTTAGTAACAGGGTAGTCTTTGTGGCTTGATTTATCAATTCTGAGACTCTATATATATAGCGGAAGTTCATCCTCTGTTCTGCTGCTTTTTAATCATGTTTCTTTTCAGTGAAGGGATATGGCCACCAAGTTTGACCCTTTCCAGATCGCCTTGAATGAAGTGAAATTAATTATCACCATGTATCCTGAAGGGGAGCTTAAAGAGAAAGCAAAATTGTTAGGAGTGCGGCTGAGATTACTGGGATCATTTTGTCTGTGTGGAAGGATGTGGCTCAGAGGTGAAGATTGTGAGTCAACCTTGCTTAGCATTGAGGAAACAGTTTATCAACGTGTTTTGGAAATTCAATCTGCTGGTACCAAACTCCAGTCCTGGCGTATTCTCCACCCTTGGGTTTCTAAGTTGTTTGGTGGTTTCCATCAGTTTATTTGTCTTAGGTTCAGGGACCCTGATGATGATGGCGATGGTGATCACCAAATGATATCAGATGCGAAAACAATGTTTGATCGTCTGCGCGCGTGGCGTTCTAAACTTATCGGTTGTATCCACCGGTTTGTTTGTATCAGATTGAGGAACCATACTCCAAATGTGGAGCATCTTGACACTGAATTCCAATTTTACATCCAGCTCCTATCATTCAGGCAAGAGATGGACAAACTGTATCACATCTTCTCAGAAAGCTCATTGAAAACTGTCTCTTCTAATCAGGGAATCCTATTCCTCGTCAGCATCATAGATTCCCTTTCTAAGAATACACTACATCTCCAGGGAATGATGATTCACAATTCACATTACGTTGAGTGGCTTCAAGCATGTACTGATTTCTTGAAGGGCTTGATTTCTTTTGCCTTCTTTCGGGGAGTTGAGCCGAGGCAGATGGAATCTTTGCTGACTCACTCTCAACGCTTTGTGGTCGACGCTCTCCATCACCTCTCCATGTTCTGTTGTAATCAAAATCCTCAGCATATTGCGCAACTTAGCAGCAGAGGTCTGCGTATTAAATTCCGTGCACGCGACATTTATGTTGCAGTCTTGCAAGCTTCAAAATTGCCTCTTTCATACAGCCATTGCACTCAAGCAGACTGTAGAGTTATCTTCAAGGACTTTGTTGATGTTCTTCTCACCGTTCTTTGGAGTAGATTAGTCCTGGATGTCAGTTCTGCATACATCTTTAACCGCCAAATGCAAGAGCTCTATGGGGGACTTACATTCTTGAGATCCATCATGACAGACCAGCCAATTAAGTTTGATGGTTTATATGAGAAGATGCCTGCCCTTATTGGACTTCTGACCTGTGAAGCAGGAATTACGATCATCCATACTTTTGGAAAAGGAACACGGAGCTCTACGAGAAAATTAGAGATCCTATTCTCAAAAACGGAGAAACTTTTGGTTACGCTTATGGAGACGGTAAAAGAGGAGGACCAGCAACTAATGTTAGCCTCCGAATTTCCTCAAACCAACCTGCTTGGTTTTATTGATCATCTCTTGGAAAAGATGAAATCAGGCATTTCGTATTCAACACTTTGTTTGTCAAAGGGTGAGCTTCAAAGTCTCCATGATAATCTTACAGATGTAAGATCTTCTTGGATTATGTTGCAGCAGTTTAACAGCGAAATGTTCCAAGTTCTCCGGAGTCGCATTGCTGCTATAGCCTATGAGACTGAATTTGTCCTTGATTCTTTCATGGCTGGAGGTGATTTAGATAGTTTTATTCAGATCATTGATAAAATCACCACAGCAGTAAAACTCATTAATGCTGAGGCTTCAGAATCTTTTCAATTTCATAACCAGAAGCAGAGCAGCGTAGTTGCTGAAACTTTCCATAAGATGCCATCAAAAGGTGAGATCCAAGTATTGGAAGATGGTATGGTAGGCTTGGCTGATGAGGTAGAAAAGATAATTGGAAGACTGACAAGAGGAACAAAACAGTTGGACATTGTTTCCATTGTAGGCATGCCTGGATTAGGCAAAACAATGTTGGCCAAAGAAATTTATAATGATGTCTCTGTTATCCTTCAGTTTCATGTTCATTCGTGGTGTACAGTCTCTCAAGTATATACCAAGAGAAGGTTGTTGCTGGACATATTGAGAGGACTTCATATTGATTTTGATGAGAAGTGTTCTGAAATGGATGAGGATTGTCTGTCTCAGAAGCTCCACCAAAAATTGTTGGGAAAGCGGTATCTTATCATCTTGGATGATATTTGGGATATAGGAGCATGGCATTGCTTGCGCGAGTCATTTCCAGAAGGTGTTCTCGGAAGCAGAATACTCTTGACAAGTCGCCACCACAATGTGGCTTCAGAAATCAAACCAGGTAGTGAACCTCATAATCTTCGTCACCTCCACATTGATGAGAGCCAGGAACTCCTGCAGAAGGTTTTAGGTTTGAAAGAAGGATGTTCTACGGAAGAACTTGGATGCTTGAAGGCAATAGTACATGAGTGTAGTGGACTGCCGCTGATGGTTTTAATTGTGGCCGGACTTCTTTCAAGTATGAAGCCAGATGCTTGGGAGGACGTTAGAGACAGTTTGAGAAACCGCACTCTATCTCTAACTGAAAAATGTATGGAGACCATAGAGTTGAGTTATTCTTACTTGCCAGATCATTTGAAGGAATGCTTTCTTTATATTGGAGCAATTGGGGTAGACAGACAAATTCCTGTTCGGAAATTGTTGCGGCTGTGGATGGCTGAAGGGTTTGTGGAGAAAACTGAAAGAGAGAGCTCGGAGGATGTTGCATGGCGATACTTGATGGAGTTGATTCAACGAAACTTGGTTATGGTGGGTAAGAAAGGATCCGGAGGAACAATCAAATCTTGTGTTCTGCATGATCTGTTACGTGACTTGTGCATCAAAAAATACAACGAGGATCATTTTCTGCATTCCTTACGTGGGTATGATGAGCTTGGTAATTCTGTCAACCCAAGCATATCATATCGTTTGTGTCTTTTCTCTAGAATGAGAGACAAAAATTTTGCTGAGTCAAGGCTGGTTTGCCCTCGCTTACGCACTCTGTTCATCGTTGCTGATCAAGAAGTATTGAATTCACGACGTGGGTATGATATCTTACTCAGGTTTAAGCAGTCCAAACTTTTAAGAGTTTTGGACCTAATGACAGTCAATGTAGGCAGCTGTTTTCCAGTGGTAATCGAGTTACTGGTTCACTTGAGGTACTTGGCCTTGCAAATTGCTAGTGGGGAACTTTTACTTCCCGCATCGTTTGCGAATCTCTCAAATTTGGAGACTTTCAATGTTCTAATTTCTGGATACATTGTGCTGCCTGATACCCTGTCGAATATGAAAAATTTGAAGCACTTGTGTGTAACTGGGTTGCTGTCTTACTGGATCTTGCCGGACAATTTCTCCGCTTCAGAGAATTTAAAAACTTTATCAGGTGCACTATTTCATAGTGACCTAAGATTAATGGAGCTAATGAGGAAACTTCCCAACATTCGCCGGCTTAGATACCGGTGTATCAACATGATCCCGAGCAAGGTTGTAGTGTCTTTAGACTTTATGAGTCAACTTGAATCACTCACCATATCTGATCACCAGACTGGTGACCTTGATTTTCAGTTTCCTCGAAACCTGAAGAAGCTAACTCTGAAAAACCTTTTACTTCCATGGAGTAAAATTACAGCATTTGATCGGTTACCAAATCTTGAGGTTCTTAAGTTACAGAGAAATGCATTTACAGGGGAAATCTGGAACATGGAGAAAGAAGGGACATTTCCTAAGCTCAGATTTTTGAAACTGGAAGACCTGGATTTAGCTCAATGGACAGACTCGGAGAATAATTTTCCTTGTCTCCAGAGTTTAGTGCTGATAAGCTGCCATCGCTTGGAGGAATTACCTTCTTGTTTATCCCAAATTGAAACTCTTCAGACGATTGAGGTGATTAATTGTGAACACGTTGCTGCTTCCATAAACCAAGTACAGCAAGAGCAAATGGGTTGGGGACGTGAAGATCTGAAAATTCGGATGCTTTCATCAGATTTAGGAGGTAAGCCAAATTAATGTTTCTTTAGTTCTTTTGAGAAAGTGAATCACATCATTTGTTTTAAGCACTTTTCTTTTCTAATCCAAGCATGAAAAGTACTCTCTTCCGACTCCACTTTGTTGTACTCTTCAGTTCAGCAAAGTGGGCTATTAAAATGGAATCGAGATTAACAAACTCGGCCATCACATTGTAAGCTATCCAGCTTCTGTCTTGATTAAATCATGATGAAGTGGTAATCCATAAGTTAAAACTACAGTATAACTTTAAAGAAATGAGATAAACAGATTACAACTGCTTACTTTGGTGTTGGACATTTGATTGATATGACCCAATTAATTTATCATTTTATCTCGTTACATGTATGCTTTACAGAAAGAATGCGTGATGTTGCGAGGCTATTTCGAAATATTGGCTTAAAGATGTTGGATGTTGCTGAAGAATCAAATAAAGTTTTTGCCGAAAATGGAAAAGAACAAAGTAGTAGTTCATCATCTTCATCATCATCATCATCGACGCTGTTGTCTGATAAGTAGAAAAATGCATTAATCAGAGTGAGCCTTTTCTGTGACGTTTAATATATTGCAGAACTGAAAAGTTGAAAGAGATCACTTCAACATTGGTATTGCAGTGGTAGAAAGACAAATTTGATAATGCACTAGCTGTTATCGTGACTAGAGGAATGTGTTCGTTTTTCTTCTGTTTTTTTGTCCCCTTCCTTTGACAATTTTAACCTGCTTTTATCATGATGAAGTATCAGATTTTCTCAGTATTTTGCTTTGATCGAATATTGTCACTATTTTCATCAATGATTATCGTGCATATAGTTCTTCAAACCCCTGATATCCATTTATCAGTAAATTTGGATCATTCGCCGTGGCCGCGATGATAACCCTAACAAGGATCATTTAGAACTGTAAAAACTTTATATATGCAGTAGGCTTTCTCCTCATAGGTTTTGGATTTGCAAATCTACTGCTTGTCTTTTCATCGACATTGAGAGATCAAGGTTTTTGATTGAAGCAGAGCTCGCGATGTCATTCGGCCCTTGATCCTCGACTAAACAGATTGTTGGTGAAAAACATGTGTTCGTTTTCGACTCTTGTTATCCTCTTCCTCTCCCTGCAGAGTTTCTTCTTCCTTTATTCTCCCCCCACTTTGGTTGTTTCCTGCAGCTCAGATGGATCAAAGCTTCAGAATGCCTCTTTGTTTTCTTGATCTCCAATCTTGCCAATCAGACTACATACATGACCTGAACGGATTGGTGGCCTGAGACCAAAATCTGATTGGGAGGACTGAAGACGATCTTCTGTTGGTACATTTAGAATCCAGGAAACAAATGTAGTAGTTTAACTGATGGTTTCTGCGGGAAAAAAGTTTTTATTTTTATTAAAAAAAATTTAAGTTGTAATCATTTAGGCCATTTTAGAGGTTAATCTAGCAATATTATCAACCGTTATTCTTTTACATGAATCTAATTAACCACAGAACAACAAATCAAAATTCATCCGTAGCTTCAACCCAAAAAGCCTCTCACTATGGAATCTTCCAAAATATATAATATGAAAAAGGAAGGTTTTTTTATATATTTTTTTTTGTGGCGAATGAAGTGTTGGTTTAGTGGTAAAACCACCCTTACTTTCAAAAAGAGTTTATGAGTTCAAATCCCTATTCTAACAAAGATTGAGGAGTATCCACTCATGAACTCTTGATTTCGCACCCGAGCTTGTCTAGGGTAGTTTACCTTTTACTGTGGCTTGTCTAGGGTAGTCCATTTTCCACTGTGATTTGCAAGTTATTGCAGTGAGCGTGCTTTACCTATTTTTAGTGGAGTTCTCCATGTTTAAAAAAAAAAAAGAAAAAAAGGGGAAATTTTTCACTTTTGGGAGAAAGAATGTAAGAATATTCAGTGGCCCTTTTATCTCATCATTGTCGTCATCATCACTTGTATTTTAACCTTACTACCTCTACTAAATTTTCAAATTTGTATTTTTAAAAATAGTATAAAAATCAAAATTCAATGTAGACTTTTTATGGGACAGAGGGAGTAATATTTAAGAAAAACGGTTAATTTAGAATCGTCTTTTTGATAAAATGCTCAAATTCACTTTGAGAATCAAAAGTATTCCACACTTTTGGTTCCTATTATAACTTTTTTTTCTGCAAATAATCATAGACAATAACAATTTGTCAAGAATATATGGATGCATCATGCATGCTGCTCTTCTTCTTCTTTTGTTCGTATTATCAATTTATAGATTTTTTTTCTTTTAATAAAAAAGAGAGAAAAAGAAAGATCACGATATCCATCCAACAATTATTTCATCAAGGATTTGGGCCGTTGAGAGCAATTAAGGAGAGTTCAAACCATATCTGGCCACAATACGTGCAAGGAATAATCTTGCTGTTTGAATCTGCAAATAAAAATGACCATAGTTCTTCTATTCCAGAAAAAATAACATACTTTATTAAATTAAAAAATATTAATTTTGTTTAAAAAAATAGTTCATATTAATTTTTTTTTTGAGATTTGTATTAAAAAATATTGAATGTAAAATATATATTTTTGTGGTACAGAAGATGAACTATTTTTCTCGGAGAGGAGCGAATATAAATCAATTGAAATAGATGATGCCATGATGAATATTTCGACAATGCATTCATCATTTCTTTTAATGTCTTGGCTAAAAACATACAAAAAAAACAAAGATAACTAAAATATTTCTCTGTATTAGATGGCACGAAAATTTTTATTTAGTACTCTTTTTTTCCTAAAATAATTGTTTAGTTTGGATAAAATCAAAATTAGTGAATTATTTCGAGATATAGGGAATAAGAGAAAACATTTGTTTCTCCTAAGGAATAAAAGAAATAATAATAGTAATATATAGCTGGTCTTTGGCAAGTTTGACATGAAAGTAGGTTTGTTTCGTTTTTTTAGTGTATGTTTTTAGGTGTTTTTTGTATTGAAAATGTAAAAAATATATTGAAAATATAAAAAGATATATTAGAATGAAACAGATATTATCATTATATTAATCTGAAAAACCACGAGAAAAAAGAAACAAACAGAGCTTTACTTTTTAAACTATTAGTCCCCCATGAAAACAGTATCTCATAATAGTAATAGATTAGATTATCCTAATACTCCGTAGCCCGCAACTTCTCTGGCGTCTACTAGTGGGCCACTTGGATGCTTTGACTTTGGATAAGTTTTGACTTTTGAACTTCCATTGAAAATATTTTAAAGTTTGGGTTGAATTTTCAATTTTGATGAAACTTGAAGCCAAGGAAATGTACGCTTTCCTTATGTTTGAAGGAATGAACTGTTGGGGATTACTGTTTGAATGAACTAATAATGTTGTTTAATTGGTCGGAGCAGAAACTTTTTCCCAGTAAAAGAGCTAGCTCGAAATCAGTTTTTGCCAAGTTATTAGTTGGATATCCTTCCTTGCTTCCATCAACAAGGTATATGCCTTCTTTATAATATTCTTGAATCTATGGTGAATTTGGGCATATTTGTATCTAGGTGTATACTTTTTCTTGTAGGATAAGTAATGGGATGGAATTGTTTGAAAGAAATTTGTTTGATCGATACATTTGAGTTCCTAAAGGCTCAAGCTTGTCTGTTAAAGCATTTAGTTCCTGCATTTCCAGAATATTTACCTGGTTTTGGCCTTTGTTTAATTTCTTGAATAGAAAATGATAGAGAAACTAGAATGGTTATTTGTTATACTGAAAACAAAATTACTTTTTTTTTTTTTATTTTCTTCTTTTTAAATTTTTTGTTTGATGCTATTTGGATGTTCTGTAAAGATAGATGAGATGTTATGTTATCATAAGCTGATATCCAATCACCATTTCTGGTCCATATGAATAGATTCTACGAATGTGAAAATTGTTTTTTTTTTTGCTTCGGCTACAATGGAGAACTTGTACTTTTGCTGCACTATTCTCTTGCAAATTTCTCCTGTTTAGTTTATATTTCAAGCGGTGATAGAAATCTTTAAGTCAGAGGGAGATTTCCTTTTTTTTTTTTACCTATTTTCTCAATCAGACGTATAGGGCAAGTTGACATAGTTTTTAGTCTTCTTTCTTTTCAGTAAAAAAGAGGAAGTTGACTCTTTATCTTTCCAAATGTGGAGTCGTTTGAGAGAAATGGCCAAGTATGATCCTTTCCAGATTGCCATGAGGGAAGTAAAATTGATAGTCGCCAAATATCCTGACGGGGACCTTAAAGAGAATGCTAAATTGTTAGGAGTGCGGTTGAGATTACTGACAATATTTTGTATGTGTGCAAGGATGTGGGTTGGAGGTGAGAGCTGTGGATCTACCTTACTTCGTATTGAGGAAACTGTTTACCAACAAGCTATGAAAATTCAGGCTACTGGAATCAAATTTGGGTTCTGGGGTATTTTCCACTCCTGTGTCTCTAAATTATTTGGTGGAATCCATCAGTTTATTTGTCTCAGATTCGGGGACCATGATGATGATGGTGATGATCAAATGATATCTGAGACAAAGTCGATATTGGATCGTCTCCGAAAGTGGCGCTCTAAACTTATTGGTCGCATCCACCAGTCTATTTGTGTCAGATTGAGCAACAATCAGGCGAAACTGCTGCATCTTCACTCTGAATACCTTTCTTTCATTCAGCAGCTTTTATTCAGGCAAGAAACTGAGGAATTGTATATCATCTTCTCAGATAGCTCGTTGGTGACTATCTCCTCTACTCAGGAAGTCTTGTCCCTCCTAGACGTCATTTATTCCCTTTTCGACATTACCCTATATCTGCAGGGAATGAATCAAATTTCATTTTATGTCGAGTATCTTCAGACTTATTTAAGATTCTTGAAGAACTTGATTGTATTTGCTAGCTTGCGGGGAGTTGGATTAAGACAGATGAAATCATTGGTGAATCACACTCAACTCTTCATTGTTGATGCAGTGCATAACCTCTTCATGCTTTGTTACAACCAAAATCCTCAGCACATTCCCCTACTTACTAGCAGAGGTCTTCCTATTGGATCGCCAGCATACCAGATTTATGTTGGAGTCCTGCGAGCTTCAAAATTGTCACTTCCGTATCACCATTTCACTCCAGCAGAATGTAGAGTTATCTTCGAAGACTTTGTTGATTCCCTTCTTGCTCTTCTTTGGAGCCTGTTATTCCCTGCTGACAGTTCTGCTGACATCTTTTACCACCAAATGCAAAAACTCTATGGAGGGCTGACATTTTTAAGAGTTACCATGATAGAGCAGCCAAATAAGTTTGATGAGCTTTATGAGAAGATGCCTGCCCTTATTGGACTTTTGATTTGTGAGGCAGGAATTACAACCAGTTATCTTTTTGTAAAGGAAACTGGTGGCTTCGCGTATAAATTGAAGTTCCTATTCTCAAGAACAGAGATGTACTTTATGAAGCTTATGGAGGCGGTAAAAGCAGAAGACAAACTCATGTTTTCTGCCAACTTCCCTCAGACCAACCTGCTGGGTTTTACTGATCGTCTCTTGGAAAAAATGAAGTCAATCATCACAGATGATGATGTTTTATCAGTTTCTTTGTTAAAGGATGAGCTTCAAACTCTCCATGACAATCTCACAGAAATGAGATCTTCTCTGGTTATGATGAGTTTTAATCAAAACAGAAAGGTCCAAATTCTCCGGAGTCGCATTGCTGCTGCAGTCTATGAGACTGAGTTTGTCTTTGATTCTTTCATGGTTGGGAGTGATTTAGTTTGTTCTGTTAATATACTTGGTAACATCATCACAGAACTCAAACTCATAAATGCCGAGGCTTCGGACATTTTTCATGATGAAAAGCAGATCAGCAAAGTTGATGAAACTTCCCATAAGATGCCATCAGCATCTGAGATCCCTGTATTGGATGATCGCATGGTGGGCTTGGATGATGAAGTAGAAAAGATAGCTGATCGACTCACAAGAGGAACAGAACACCTTGACATTGTCTCCATTGTGGGTATGCCTGGATTAGGCAAAACAATGCTGGCAAAAAAGGTTTACCAGGATCGCTCCATCATGCTTCACTTTCATGTTCATTCTTGGTGTTCTATTTCTCAAGCATATGACAAGAGGCATCTGCTTCTTGAGATTTTGAGTGGACTTGGTATTAAGTCTGATGACAATTTTTCTAAAATAGACGAGGATGATTTGTCTCTTAAGCTCTACCAACAATTAAAAGGAAAAAGGTATCTCATAATCTTGGATGATATTTGGGATACAGCAGCTTGGCATAGCTTGAGTAGCTCATTTCCGAATGATGTTAACGGAAGCAGAATTCTCTTGACGAGTCGCCACCACAATGTGGCTATGGAAATCAAACCAGACAGAGAACCTCATCATCTTAGGTTCCTCCACAACAATGAGAGCTGGGAACTCATGCAGAAGACTAAAGGTCTCAAAGAAGGATGTTCTCCTGAACAACTGGAATGCATGAAGGAAATAGTACATGATTGTAGCGGATTGCCACTGATGATTTTAATTGTAGCCGGGATTCTTTCACATATGGAGCCAAATACTTGGGATGAAGTGAGAGAAAGTCTGAAGAAAGGTACTCTATCGTTAACTGAAAAATGCATGGAGACCATAGAGTTGAGTTATTCATTTTTGCCAGATCATTTGAAGGAGTGCTTTCTTTACTTTGGAGCAAGTGGAGAGGACCAAGAAATTCCTGTTCGGAAATTGTTATGCCTGTGGATGGCTGAAGGGTTCACGCAAACAAATGGAAGAGATTGCTCAGAGCATGTTGCAAAAAGCTACATGAGGGAGTTGATTCATAGAAATTTGGTTATGGTGGGTAAGAAAGGATCCAGAGGAACAATCAAATCTTGTGTTGTTCATGACCTGTTACGTGACTTCTGTATGAAAAAGTGCAATGAAGAACATTTTCTGCATCACTTACATGGGTATGAGGTTAGTAATTCTGTTGAACCAAGCATATTTTATCGGTTGCGTCTTTGCTATCGGACGCGAGAGGATTTTGGTGAATCAAGACTGCCTTGTCCTCGTTTACGCACACTGTTCATAGTTGATGATAATGATGTTTTGAGTTCGCGACATTCTTTTGGTATATTGTACAAGTTTAATCAGTCCAAACTTTTAAGAGTTTTGGACATAAGAACAGCTTTCGCGAGCAGCTCTTTTCCAGTAATAGAAACTTTGGTTCACTTGAGATACTTGGCCTTGCAAATTCCTTCCAGGGGATTTTTTCTTCCATCTTCCATAGCAAATCTCTCAAATTTGGAGACTTTTATAATTCTAGCACCTTCAACCATCGTGCTGCCTGATACCCTGTGGAGTATGAAAAATCTAAGGCACTTGTTTGTAACTGGATTGCTTGCTGAACTTGGTCACTGGATATTGCCAGATAACTATCTTGAAGATTTTTCCGGTTTAGAGAATCTGGAGACTTTGTCCTCTGTTTTGTTTTTAAGCGACCTACCAATGATGGAGGTATTGAGGAAGTTTCCTAATCTTCGCAGACTTAGATACAGATGTATCAGTGAGACACCGAGCGGAATTGTAGCTCTAGATTTTTTGAGTCGGCTTGAATCACTCACCATATCAGACCATCACTCAGTTTGTGACCTTAATTTTCGATTTCCACACACTCTAAGGAAGCTAAGTCTGGCAGGCCTTGATCTTCCATGGAATAAAATTTCAATATGTGATAGACTGCCAAATCTTGAGGTTCTTAAGTTGCGGAACAATGCATTTACAGGGGATAATTGGGAAATGGAAGAAGAAGGGACATTCCCCATGCTCAAATTTCTAACATTGGAAGACCTGGATTTAGCTCGGTGGACAGACTCCTATGATAATTTTCCTTGTCTTCAGAAATTAATACTGATAAGCTGCCATAATTTGGAGGAACTACCTTCTTGTTTAGCACAAAGTTCAACTCTTGAGACGATTGAGGTAATTAACTGTAAACATGTTGCTGCTTCAGTAAAGCAGATCCAGAAAGAGCATATGGATATGGGAAATGAGGATCTAGATATTCAAATTCCACCATCGGATGGAAGAGGTAAGCCCAAATGGTTTCCTTTAATCTTAAAAGTTAAAACAATCTGGTCAGTCGTCCCTTACGATTAATTGAACTACAGCTTATGTTTCTAGTATATCTGTCAACAAGTCTACTTGTTCTCCACTGACTGCTACTCGTGAGTGAATCTCTTGGTTAGCTATTCCAGCTTCCTCTAAAAACGACTTTAAACTATTTGCTTATGTTGGATTTTTAGTTTTGTGATGTTGACCCCTTCAAATTTGTCATGGAGTCTTATTCTATGCATGCTTTACAGAAAGAAGACTTGACTTTGGGAGGCTGTTCCGAAACGCTCTGAAGATAATAGATTTCCCCAATGTTGAAGCATCAAAAGCAGAAGTTCACGAATTGGAAAACACAAAAGACAGTAGCAGCGCATCATCATCGTCATTGCAAGGTGTTCAGCAGTAACAACTGTTGTCTCAAACATAAGGTTAGTTAGATTAATTATTGTTGTTTGTGGATTGTTGTTGTGTGCATATGTGTGTGGTTTTTTCATTTTTTATTTTGTAACTTCTGCATTTGACAATTTTAACCATGTTTAACAACTTTTATACTGATTTCAGTCGTATGCTTTCCGGAGTTCAGTGATCAAAAGGTTAGAACTCATGAAATAACTATGTTTAAGTATGCCTGCACATATTGATTTGTTTATTTTGTCTTTTTGTGATGTTGTGTGAGGCTGTAATGCTTGCAGCCTTTAGACATATCTGTTGGAGGTTTAGCTGCATCTTGATTAGTTGTGTTTTCTGATAATGCTCAACAATAATGGTATCTAATGAAACTGTGGTTAATCACATTAGTTAAGCACTTCATTAAAATCACAGAAGTTTAATCTTTCTTGTGTCTAGATTGGGCATTATGGGATTAGAATGAAACCAGCCCTTTTGAGTTTGATGTGAGCATTTGGAACTGTAAACTCACTAAGCCGGGGGCTTTTCCTAATAGGTTTGGATTTCATATCTGTTACTTTCCTTTCCAATGGCGTTGGAGAGAGCTCTTGGTTAATGGTTAAAGATGAGCGGCTTGGACAGTACCTAAATAAGATACTTGCCAGACCATTCACAGTTCCACCTGGGACTAAATAGGTATAGTTCTTCAAATCCTTCTCTTCTCATAAGGACTGAGTTTCTCCTATTCTGATCAAAAGGGTGGAGAATGAATTCTGGAAGATTTTCTTTTGTTTCCTTGAAGAAGTCTAAGTTTTTGGTAATTTTTTTTGAATGCAGCAGGACCAGAATTCGACGGTTGCTGCCGAAGGGTCTCCCAAGTGTGTTTTCATTCAGGGACACAGACTTTCTGTGGCAACCACTTGGCTCAGATAATAGCTGCAATTGGGATTAGGTTCAAGGCGTGGTTTCAAGATTCTCGAAACGCTGCTCCTCATTTCATGAAGTCTATAACTAGTGTGCCCTATAGTCAGTCTCTGTTTTGTAATCTAAAAGGGGATTTCCCAAACTTTCAACAACTCCATTTCCTACATTCAGTTATCTCCACTATCTACATGATATTATCTGGATAATCCGTAGGGAGGAGATCAAAGTGTAGACCTGAACCGATGTGATCGATTCAATCAACATCCATCACTGCAAATTTTCCTTGGCATTTATCAAATTATTACTTGTTTTTGTTTTTGATAACCAGTACCTGAACTACAAGAGAAATGGTAAGTGAACTTCATAAATATAAAAATTCCATTACAATTGGAAATGAAAGAACTATGAAGATTGTAGTATAATTTTTCGTACTTCGTAAAGACCATCTTTCTTTTGGGATGAAGTTAAAAAATGCTTATTGTACATGATCTTCCCCATTAGAAAAAGAAAAAAAAAAAACAAAAAGCCACAAAAACTCTGTTTCTCTTCTTTCATTCCCATCATCTGTGCGCAATAACACAAATTGCTTTTTGTCATCCCTGTTTTAGGGTTTGTCGGGAAAAGAGGTCAGAATATATGTACTCTTTGGCATCTACTTCTTCTTGATTGATTTTTGTTTTGTCCCAGCTTTTCTTGTTTACTACTGTTAAAATTGGATTGCTCTGGTTTGTTTTAGGCGCGGTAATTTTCTCTAAATTAGCCGAACATAAACCGAACAACACGTTCCTTGTGGCCTTATCTGCATGTAAAGTGTTCGATGTTTTGCTTCTAAGAGTGCAATAATGATATTCACTTAACTTCCTTTGTAAATGAACACACACAAAATCGTGCCTTGCGTTTGTGATATGTTATATGTCTGTAAATTTGTGGTGAGTTTTTCCTCTTTCTCGAATGGTCGTTAAACTGGAAATCAGCTTGCCTTTGACACGCGATATACTCTCTCTCATTTGTTTGTCTGAAGTGAATCTATGTCTTCTATTGTAAAATTTCTAGATCCCTTCTTTCTTTAGATTTTATAAGTTTCACACAAAGTGACTCCATGTTTCGAGATTTTTTGAGCTTCTAAGAGCCCATATGCCCCAAATTACGCCGGTCGGATTACTGTCAAGTGTTTCTTTTATTCTTCTCCCTTTAGGACTCAGAACATTTACATTATCTTTTTGTTCTTTGGCTGTCCAAATAAAGACCAAATTAAGCTTATTGCCGAATGGGCTTCAAACTCTGCGTCCTGATTAAATGTAGATTGTTCAGTTTTGAACTCCTATTATTTACATAAGAACATCATTTTAATGATGGTAGTCGGTAGGAATCTATGCGACTTGCTCTACTCAGGCAACTCTTTACATCATTTGGTTAAGAACCCACAATGCAACCAATTTCTGTTTGGTATGCAAATTTAGTGTAAATTTCCTGAGTTATTTGGATTCCACAGTTACTTAATGGTTAATGGTAGTAATGTCCTGCCTACATGTGGGAGATAGTAATGGCCTGCTTTCACAAGGGAGATATTGTCAGTTTGTGATACTGAACCTTTCTCAAGATGTACAGGCCTCTTGCTCCTTTGCCGGCAATACAAAAGGAATGCTTTCACTTGAAACTGGAGTTGTCGTAATTAGACTTTGGTTTTTGATGGTTCAACGTAAAACAACCAGCTTACATCAATTTAGAATCTTGACACTGACAATTGTCTTACCTGAATCTGCATTATTTGTCTATTGCATTTGATTATGAAACAAAATCCATTAGTAACGGAATTTCTGAATAACATGTATCTGTACTACTCTTTGACATATCTTCCTTTGTCTGTGCACTCCTGTATGTATTGTAAAAATCATTTGTTCCCTGCATATTCTGCATTGTGCTGGTTTTGAATGTGCTACGATTTCCTGATAACTTGGTGATATTTTTGCTCTCCAGGATTGCTCTTAGCATCAATTTGTTAATTCCAGCGCTGTGGACTGTGCTGCTCAGTTGCAAATGTCAGATTCAAGTGGCTTAAAATCAGTGAGGTACATCCTTTGACCCAAGTTTAGTCGAAGGACAGGAAGATGGTCAAATCACTGATAATTTAGGATATCTGACATTCTCCTTGGAAAATAACTAGGGAGCAAACAATGGCAAAACGTATTCGTCTCCTTTTTCCCTCCAAATTCCCAAACCACAAAAACTCCCAGAACTTACCTCATACTTCTCATTGCAAATTGCTCTGCTCCTCCTCATCGCCGATTCATTTACAGAATGAAACATCTGACGCTTCCTCCATCCCAAATGAAGCCGTTGGTGCTGCAAATCAAACCCTCCGAGAACCCCTCCGGCAGCTTCACAATTTACTGCAACAGAATTATACAGAGACTGCAAAGAAGCAGCTTAAAGCCATCATGGATTCGAGTAATGCTTCTGAACTCTACAGGATTTTCTCCGAATCATCTGATTCTACCGGACCTGTTCTTTCCGACATGCTGTTAGCCCTTAATGCTGATTCAAATCGCCTCGAGGAGGCCACAGAACTCTATGATTCAATGAGAAAAGATGGTAAGTTTCCTTCCATGTTCGCTTTCAATCAATTTCTTGAATTGCTGGTTACTTCGAAACAGTACAATAAGACCCTTGAGGTGTTTTCTGATGCTGTAAATTCGGGCATGCGGGTTGATAAGTTCAGTTATGGCAAGGCTGTACAGTCGGCTGTAAAACTGGGGAATTTACGGATGGCTTTGGATGAATTTCGCAGTATGAGAAAATTTGGGTTGAAACCAAATAGGTTTGTGTACAATGTTTTGATTGGTGGTTTATGTAAAGAGAGGCGAGTTTTGGAAGCTAGGAAGCTGTTCGATGAAATGATTAAGCGAAGAGTGTCTCCAGATCTGGTTACGTACAATTCTCTCATTGATGGTTATTGTAAATCAGGGGATTTAGAACTGGCCTTTAATATGCGGGACACGATGAAAGATGATAATTTGACACCTAATATTATCACATACAATACCCTACTGTCTGGTCTTTGTAAGGCAGGAAGGGTGGATGATGCTAAAAGGATATTGGAAGAAATGGAGATTCATGGGTTAACGCCGGATGGTTTCACATATAGCATACTTTTTGATGGGCTTTCTCGATGTAATAATCTGGGCGCTTCTCTGGCTTTGTTTGACGAAGCCATGCGGAGAGGGGTAAAGTTGAATGACTATACCTATAGCATCTTGTTAAATGTGTTGTGCAGGGAAGGAAAAATGGTGGCTGCTGAGGATTTACTAAATAAGTTGAAGGAAAATGGGATTCTTCCAACAGTGGTGATGTTTAACACCTTGTTAAATGGGTACTGCCAGGAAGGGAATGTCTTTAAGGCACTGACAACAATAGACAAAATGGAAAAAGTTGGGGTTAAGCCTAATTGCATCACGTTCAATACAGTTATCAATATGTATTGTGAGCTATCCAAAATGGATGATGTGAATGAATGGATTAAGAAGATGAGAGAGATGGGAGTTGTTCCTGATTTGCAAACGTATAACATCTTGATTAAGGGCTACGGGAAAGTTTGTCAATTTGATAAGTGTTTTGAGCTTTTTCAAGAAATGGAGAAGCAGGGAGTAGATCCTAATCTTGTAAGTTATGGTTCTTTGATAAATTGCCTATGTATTGATGACAAGTTTCTTGAAGCTGAATTAGTATTGCGGGATATGAGTGCTAGGGGAGTTTTACCCAATGCACAAATTTATAATGTTATCATAGACGGCTGTTGCACAAGAGGTAGAATGGAAGATGCATTTAGGTGGTTTCATGAAATGATAGAAAGTGAAGTAGCCCCAACCCTTGTGACATACAACACACTCATCCTTGGGCTTTGCAGGAAACGTCAGGTAATGGATGCTGAAGCCATGGTTGCGCAGATCATAGACAGGGGTCTAAAACCCGACGCGATCACATATAATTCTTTGATAGCTGGGTATAGCAGCACAGGTGATCCTGGTAAGTGCCTAGAGCTATATGAGAAGATGAAAGCATCCGGTGTCAAACCCACACTAAGCACATATCATCCCATTATGACTCTTTGCATAAACAAAGAACTGGGGCTGCAGGAAATCGAGAAAATGGTTCAAGAAATGTTCATCCTGAACCTAAGTCCTGATCGTATTATATATAATGATCTTATTCACTGTTATGTAGAGCATGGAGAGTTCCAGAAAGCATACTCTTTGTTTCATGAAATGGTAGAAAGTGGGATTCCGCTCAATCGGATGACCTACAATGGCCTGATTTTGGGATGTGTTAAGGAAAGCAAACTTGATGAAGCCGAGCACCACTTTAAGGACATGATTTCCCGTGGATTGGTTCCGAACTTTGATACGTATAACATGATGATCGAGGGACACTGCAAGGTGAAGGATTTTTTACGTGGTTACAAATGGTACAGGCAAATGTATGAGAATAATCTATACCCAACCATCACGATATGTAACGAGCTACTCTCTGGCCTCAGGCAGGAAGGAAGATCAGAAGAGGTCCAGAAACTTTGTTCTGAGATGAAGTGTAAAGGATTGGGTGAGGAGGGCTGCATCAACGATGACGGTTCTCCGGTTTGCCTTGCAGAATTAGCCAAGTAGCTCATATTTTATTGATCCCGTCTCTTATAAAATAGTACTTCCTCCGTCCCATAATTATTGTCCAGTTTGGGTTTTCATTTTAGTTCAAATTATATTAAAAGTGAAATTTCAAATTGGACAATAATTTTAGGACAGATAGAGTATTAGTATTTGTTGTAGTTAGTTAAATTAACTGAAGTGTTACATTTTTAAATTGAATCATTGTTGTTCATAATCTATACCTGCCGTTTCTCCTTCCTAGTTTATTTCTGAAAGAGGAATATAAGAGATGAGTGTCGCTGGGGTTTCTGACTATTTGAACTCCCTGTTTTTGAAATCATAACATCTATTCCCTCCGTCCCAAAATTATTCTTGTACAGTTTAGATTTGCACTTTTAATACGATTCGTATAACAAATGGCAATTCAAACTGCACAATAATTTTGAGACGGAAGGAATACTTGATTTCTCTACATCCACAGACTCCTACATTCATCGATCCAATCTTCATTCTTATACTTTTTTTTTATTATTTGACTAAAATTCTTATACCATTAAACATAGAAATCAGGGAGCTGTAAAGATTTCAAAATGTGTTTAGTCTAGGTAACAGGTCAAATTTTTAGTTTATTCTGGAGACTACAGTGATCGGGCACATAATTTTTTTTAGCCAATAATTTCGAATTACACGCGCTTTCTTCTAGTTTCCACTGTCCTTCATTTTTCTCTAAGGAAGAATCTGTTGTGTGAATTCGAATCAGAAAGTAGAGGTAGAAAGTGAAGATTTTGATATTGAATTTGCAGGTGCGGTTCTATTCTTTTCCCTTTTTTAGTCGTACTGTGAGAGGTGAAGGAAAAGTTTTATTGGTCAAGAACAAAAATTGATAGCCATATTATTTACATTTTGTGTTTTTGTTTTTTCATGATGAATGAATCGGGAAGCTTAAGAAAGAGTAATTACGCACCTACGTATTTGTTAGGCAGGGTTAATTGGTAAAGTAGATAGTTTGGTTTGCATAGCAAGTGTTTGTTAATATGCCTAGATGAGAATTTTTGAACTGAAATTGGTTACCTTAATGTTTTGTAGTTTTTGCCTGTCGGAGTTTTTTTTATAGCGCAACTGTGGAATTCTGCTTTTTGGTTCATAAATCTGTTTAGTTGTCACATGGATGTACCGATGTAGGCCTTCTGAAACAATTCTTAAGGGGTAAAGCCTCCTACTTGGACATTTTGTAGGAATTAGTTATCCTGTCCGAATAATGATCTCACATTAATCTAGTCTATAATCTACATATTCAATTCACTCACTCACCGTTTGGTTGTTCTGTGCTCAACTGTGTGAATTACTTGTAATTATTTTTTCTGATCTGCTTATAGAGACGATAGATCCAGTCAAATTTGAGGTATAGGATACTTATGTATTCATTTGGATAGCATCAGATCTACTAATTAAGCCGTCAAGTTTTGATAGATTATGTGGTTTGTTGGATCTCCATTGCTTTTGTCCTTGCAATAGGTATTATTTCATGTTATTCATTAGTGAAAAAAACTCCTTCTTCCTTCTGAAATTGATCGTTTCAGTAATTTGGAGTACTTGGACCTTTCATTTAATACAATGAAGAACTTACCGACTGAGCTAATTGTCTTGAACTCTTTAGTGTCTTTGGTGCAAAGAATTGAAATATGGTGGTTTGGAGATAACTGGATAAAAAAGGGGGAAAAAACAGTGTGCATACTCTATCGAAGGTGCTATTGATGTTCTAATATAGATTTTTTTTTTTTTAAAGACAATAGTAGTTCAGCTGATGGAAGAAGCAATAGACACATGATTTACTTACTAGAAGCTCCAAACTTTTCCAAAAAATAAAAATAAAAATTTCAATTTACTCTTGTGGGGAATAAATCATTCAAGTCCAACAACAAATTTCGATTTTCGTATACATTTTGGTTCAACGTTTCCAATTCTTTGTAAATAAAATATTTGAAATAAATAATCAGCTAAATTTTTCATTTTTCTTATCTAAGTGCTTCAACTAGCCCGAGTCTAACCGCAAAATTCTTTATAAGTATTTGGCTCGAAATCAGTTTACCATCGATTGGAGCTTCTTGCTTCCGTCTACAAGGTTAGGAACTACATAATGTTTTCATTTTTTGAAGTTTATGATCGTATTTGCTATTATCTGCAGTAAACTTGGAAATTTTGAGTGATGTAGATGTAGAAGTTTCTGAAACTTATATACAGTATATTCTATTCATTCAAATGATGGAATTTATAGATAATTTCATACCCAAGTATAATGGTGGGGACGATTAATTTCTTTGCGTGCGAGCTTATTTTTGAAAAATTAGGTACCGTTTGGTATGGAATTGTTAAAAAATGTTTGATTGATCTGCTTAGTTCCTCAAGCTCATATCTATCACTTGAATGATTATGCGATTTGAATGTTGGGTAAAGAAAGATGGGATATTATAATGGAAATCTGGACTGATTGAGAGAATGAGTGGATGCATAATCTCATTTTGCTACAATTTGACTACTAGGAGAACTTGTTCTTATGATAATGCAGCCATTACACGTATAAATTTTTCATTGTAGCATATAATTCAAGTGGAGATCGAAATATTAAGTGACCGGGTGATGTGTTGGCTGGTTTCCTCAACGAGGCTTATATAGGAGAAGTTGACTTGCTGTCTGCTATTTGTTTTAATCATTTTTTTTTCTCCGGTGAAGAGAAACTTGACTCTGAATCTTCGAGAATGTGGAGTCGTTTGAGGGATATGGTCAAGCATGACCCTTTCCGGATTGCCTTGAATGAAGTGGATTTGATAGCAAACCGGTGTCCTGAGGACGACTTTAAAAAGAACACAAAATTGTTAGGAGTACAGCTGAGATTACTGAGATCATTTTGTAAGTGTGGAAAGATGTGGGTAAAACGTGAGCACCATGGATCTACCTTGCTTAACATTGAAGATATTGTTCATCAACATGGTTTGAAAATTCAGTATACTGGCATCAAAATCAGGTTCCGGGCAGTTCTCCTCCTCTTGTTTTCTAAATTTTTTGGTGGCATTCATCAATTTATTTGTCTGAGATTTCGGGGCCATGATGGTGATGATGATGATCCGATGATATCTGATACGGCAACAATATTGGATCGTCTCTGCAAGTGGCGTTCTAAACTTATCAGTTGCGTCCACTGGTCTGTTTGTCTCCGTTTGTGCAATCATGCCACGAATCTCTGGCATCTTCACTCTGAATACCTTTCTTACATTCAGCACCTTTCATTTGCGCAAGAAACTGTGGAACTGTACCACTTGTTCTCAGACAGTACATTGCGAAATATCTCTTCCATTGAGGAAATCCCATTCTTCCTAGATATCATTGATTCCCTTCTACAGAATTCGCGAAATCTGAAGGAATTGAATCACAATTCATCTTATGTTGAGTGGCTTCAAGTATGCGCAAAATTCTTGAAGAACCTGATTATTTTTGCTATTTCGCGGGGACTTGGAGTGAGGCAGATGGGATCTTTGCTGGCTCACACCCAACTCTTTCTTGTTGATGCTCTACATGATCTCTACATGTTTGGGTGTAACAAAGATTCTCAGTATATTGCCCAACTTAACATCAGAGGTCTGCCTATTAAATCTGCACGGCGTGCACGCGGAATTTATATTGGAGTCCTGCAAGCTTCAAAATTGTCGCTTTCATATTACCATTTCACTCCAGCAAACTGTAGAGTTACCTTTGGGAACTTTGTTGATTCTCTTCTTACTCTTCTTTGGAGCCTATTAGGATCTGAATATAGCTCTTCAGACATCTTTAATCATCAAATACAAGAGCTCTATGGGGGACTGACATTCTTGAGAACCATCATGCTAGAACAGCCTGACAAGTTTGAGGTTCTATATGAGAAGATGCCGACCCTTATTGGACTTGTGATTTGTGAGTCAGGAATTACAATCATCCATCTCTTTGGCAAAGGAAAACGATGCTTTGTTAAAAAATTAGAGATCTTGTTCTCAAAAACAGCAGAGTATTTTGGTAAGCTTATCGAGGCTGTGAAAGGGGAAGACTTGCAGCTAATGTTAGCCTCCAATTTTCCTCAGACCAACCTGCTTGGTTTTATTGATCGTCTTTTGGAAAAGTTGATGTCAGTCATTCGTGATGATGCTCATTCATCAGTTTCTTTGTCAAAGGATGACCTTCAAACTCTCCATGATACACTTACAGACATAAGATCTTCTCTGGCTGTGCTACAGTTCAACCAAAATGGGAAGTTCCAGGCTCTCCGGAGCCGCATCGCTGCGGTAGTCTACGAGACAGAATTTTTCCTCGATTCTTTGACAGTTGAAGGTAATGAAGATAGTGTCTTCAAGATAATCAATAACATCACAACAGCAGTCAAACTCATTTCTGCTGAGGCTTCTGATATTTTCCTGAACCAGAACCATATCACTAAAATTGCTGAAGCTTCCCATAAGATGCTTTCGGCAGGGGAGATCCCAGTTCTGGATGACAGTATGGTGGGCTTGGATGATGAGGTAGAAAAGGTAATTGATCGACTCACGAGAGGAACAGAACAGCTGGACATTGTTTCCATTGTTGGTATGCCTGGATTAGGCAAAACAATGTTGGCAAAAAAAGTTTATGAGGATCTCTCCATTGTCCTTCACTTCCATGTTCAGTCTTGGTGCACTATCTCTCAAGTATATAACAAGCGAAGTCTGTTAATCGAGATTTTGAGTGGACTTGTTAATTTCGAAGACAAGTATTCTGAAATGGATGAGGATGATTTGTCTCTTATGCTTTACCAACAGTTGAAGGGAAGAAAGTATTTCATCATCTTGGATGATATTTGGGATCTTGGAGCATGGGTTAGCTTGAGTAGTTCATTCCCTAATGATGTTAATGGAAGCAGAATTCTCTTGACGAGTAGGCATCATAACGTGGCTTTCGAAATCAAACCAGACAGAGAACCTCATCATCTTCGTCTCCTCCACATTGATGAAAGCTGGGAACTTATGCAGAAGATTATAGGTGTCAAAGAAAGACTTCCTCCGGAACTATTTGCATGCGGGATGGAAATTGTACAGGACTGTAGTGGATTGCCGCTGATGATTTTAGTTGTGGCTGGTCTTCTTTCAAATATGAATCCTAACACTTGGGAGGAAGTTAGAGAATCTTTGAAGAAAGGTACCCTCTCGCTGGCCGAAAAATGTACGGAGTCCATAGAATTAAGTTATTCTTATTTGCCAGATCATTTAAAGGATTGCTTTCTGTACTTTGGAGCATTTGGAGAGGACAAACAAATTCCTGTTCGGAAATTGTTACAGATATGGATTGCTGAAGGGTTTGTGCAGAAAAATGGGAGAGGGTACTCAGAGGATGTTGCAGAAGGCTACATGAGGGAGTTAATCCAGAGGAATTTGATTATGGTGGGTAAGAAAGGATCCAGAGGAACAGTAAAAACTTGTATCATTCACGACATGTTACGTGACTTCTGCATTGCAAAATGCAATGAAGAACATTTTTTGCATCAGTTGCGTGGGTACGAACCTGGTAAGTCTGTCGATCCTAGCATACTGTATCGGTTGCATCTTTGTTCTAGGATGCGAGAGGATTTCGCTGAGTCAAGGCTGCTTTGTCCTCGTTTACACACACTGTTCCTTGTTGTTGATAATGATGTGCTGAATTTGCCACGGAATATGTTCCTCAATTGTGATCATGATGTTTTAAATTCACGACGATGGTATAGTTTATTGTACAGGTTTAAGCAGTCCAAACTTTTAAGAGTTTTGGACCTGAGAATGTGCTACACAGGCAGCTCTTTTCCGGTGGTAATAGAATCACTGGTTCACTTGAGGTACTTGGCCTTGCAAATTGCTGGTACGGGACTTAAGCTTCCACCGTCAATAGGGAATCTTTTAAATTTGGAGACTCTCATAATTCTAACAACTGGAAACATTTGGCTCCCTGATACCATCTGGAATATGAAAAGCTTAAAGCACTTGTGTGTAACTGGTTGGTTTGCTCACTGGATTTTGCCCGACAGTTTTCTTGAAGGTCGCTCCAATTTAGAGAATTTAAGAACTTTGTCTGCTGCGCTGTTTATCAGTGACATAACAACGATGGAGGTAATGAGGAAGTTTCCAAATATCCGCAGACTTAAATACAGGTGTATCAACTCAATGTCGAGCGAGATTATAGCCCTAGATTTTTTGAGTCAACTTGAATCACTGACCATATCTGATCACCAGACAAGTGGTGACCTTAATTTTCAGTTTCCCCAGAATCTGAAGAAGCTAACATTGGCGAACCTTCATCTTCCATGGAGTAAAATTTCATCATTTGATAGACTGCCAAATCTTGAGGTCCTCAAGTTACAGGACAATGCATTTACAGGGGAAAACTGGGACTTGGTAGAAGAAGGGACATTCCCCAAGCTCAGATTTCTGAAATTGGAAGGCCTGGATTTAGCCAGATGGACAGACTCAAATGAGAGTTTTCCCTGCCTTGAGAAATTGGTATTGGTAAGCTGCCATCACTTGGAGGAATTACCTTCTTCTTTAGCCCAAAGTTCAACCCTTCAGATGATTGAGGTAAAGAACTGTAAACATGTGGCTGCTTCAATAAATCAAATCCAGGAAGAGCATATGTGTTGGGGAAGCGAAGATCTAAATATTCGAGTTGTATCACTGGACGAAAGAGGTATGCCCTTATGCCTTTTATTTTAAGTTTCAAAAGCAGCCATCATCATTCCTGACAATCGATTCAAAGAAAGCAATCGCATGTAATGCTAAAATTCAAGTACAGTACGAGGAACCACCCTGTCTTTTTTGTTCTTTTTCTTCTTCCTTTTAGTTCTGTTGGTATAGTGAATCACCATCCTACATTTTAACCATCCTACTTCTTCTCCATTGATTCATTTCTTCCCTAATCCAAGCAGGAAAAGTTACAAACTAGGCCATCACTTTGTCAGCTACTCGAGCTTCATTCTAGATTAAATCATCATTAAGTACTTGTCCTCAACCTAATAGCATAATCTATAAATGAGCATAAGATGAATTTACGGTTACTTACTTTTGTGTTGAATTTTTCAACGATGAAATGTGGAACCTTATTACATGTAATCTTATTTTATGCATGTTTTACAGAAAGAGTACGTGACTGGGGGAGGCTGTTAGTGGATCTTTGTGTAAGATTGTATAACCCCCTTTTGCTGAATCGTCAAACACAGATTTTCAAGATAATGATAATCAAAATAGTGGCCTTCCTTCATCGTCATTAGATATGATCAGTTGTGACAATTGTTGTCCCAAAAAGATAAGGTTAGTACATATTGATCAAGTGAAACTAATTCTGTGATATTTCATTAATTTGTTGGAAAACTTCAAGGAGATCAATAAACCATTGCTATTGTAGCAGTAGAAAGACGCCATTGGTGTCTGCACTGTTACTATAATAAGTACTGGAATATGGTTTTATTTGTTTTATGTTTTATCTTATCTTGATTCGATGATTTTAACCCCTTTAGTATGACAGAATTAACAGATGCTTTGAAGAGTTTGGCGACCAAGTAGTTTGAAATTTTAAAACGTAATTTCTCAGACAAATGAAAGAAGGGAATTTGGCCCTAGAAAAATGGTTACTTTGTAAATTTACTGCATGGAAATAATGATTTCGTTATTTGGTTTGAATATCAGTAGTTTAAGGCTACAATATTTAAGTAATCTGAACACTAGTTTGTGTTTCTGAGATGTTCATGTAAGGCTTTAATGGTTGCAGCCTTTAGGCATGTTTTTGGAGTTTTCGGTAGAATTGGATGCTCTTTTGATCATAGTTTGTTTTTTAAGATTTTCTTACAATGCTTAATTATTATGACACTTACCAAACAACTATCTTTAGTGCACTACATTGATGCCGCAACAGCTTGGTCCTTTTGTGTCTCGATTGTATGTTGATAGCCACTTTAAAGGAAGCTTTGCGTGATTAAACTTTGATGTGATGGATATGATCCTTGCTTGAAGACTTCTATAGGTTTTCTAGTTCTTGTTTTGCTGCTGAATTTCGATAGACTATTTCCACACTGATATCCATTTGTCAGTAACTTCCATTGTTCAAAATTTGTGTTAGTGTCAAAGTGTGTCAATAATCTGCAACGTAAAAATTATCATCTGGACATTACTACCGGGCTTCTTTTCCTTCTTTTTTTAATTCCCTTTTTGAGAACATGTAGCTAAAATCTGGTTCTTATGAGTTTGATGTGTACAGTTGAACGGTAAACTCATAAAGTAGGAGGTTTTCTCTAATAGGTTAAAGAATGCATGTCTGTTGCTTGCCATTCTATCGACTTTAGGCTCTATGTTATTGGTTAAAGCAGAACTGCTTGACCTGTACATTCTTTGCATACTATTCGTGGCTTGACCATGGACTGAACATTTATGGTTCTTCCAATGCATCTATTCTCACGCTGGATTGAGTTTATCCTACCCTTACCAAAAAAACAATGACGATCAATAATAATTTTGGTGTACTTTGAAAATGATATTTGTTGTTGATCAGAAAATTGCTTAATCAAATGTAGGCCTGCTATTAAATCAAATGTACTCTCTTCGTCCCATAATTATTGTCCAGTTTGAGTTTTCATTTCTAGTTCAAATTGTACTAAAAATGAAATCTCAAACTAGATAATAATTTTGGGACAGAGGGAGTAACATTTTTTAACAATTCCAATACTTAAAGTTTGCTATCATTTTAACTCTACCCACTATCCACTTTAAAATATTTCTTCTTTTTTTTTTTTAGCATAAATATAAATTTTCACGAAATTATTCACCGACTAATCATAAAAATGTACAACGATGCAACCAAACTTAAGAAGTGGAGTCTAATACAAAACTTCGTTCATCCCCTAGCGATGACCCAGTTTACAGCAGGTAGGTATACAACATTTTGCTTTTATTTGGTGCAGTACTTAAAGTAGACCTTTTTTTCTTTAACAAAAAACTTATTAATTTATTTGAATTATTACTCGTTACACATATTTTACCCAAAACAACATAAGATCATGTTAGTAAAGATCTGGAACTAAATTTGAGATTTGAAGTGTAAAAAAAAAAAGTTTTTAGTTTCTCCTCCAACAAAACTCTAGTTTTTCTTTTTCCCAAAAAAGAAAGAAAAAGAAAATCACATTTCACTATATTACCATAAATCGGTGTTCTACCTATTTGAACCGGATTATCTATTTGACCCGCCTTAGACCGATGCCAAAGCGGGTCAGGAAAGGAATATACACCCCCTAATCAACTTGTGGTATGGGGAACCTCTAATCATTGAGCTCCCACTTTTTTTCCCTTTTTTTTTGTTTTTTTTTTTGTTTTTTGGTTAACATTGAGCTCCTGTTTCATTCCCACATAAATATCTTGGGCGAAATATCCAGGACATTGGCATTGTACATAGATATGGTGGGCCAAATTGAGATTGAATTATTCACACTTTCCAGTTAGTGTAACACTATAATGTTATAAGAGAATCTCATCATCATAAGAATCAATCAGCATTATGTTTCGGAGGGATCATCCTTTTGTTTGGTCTGAATGCTGGCCTACAGTTTGTATAACAAGAATGGAAAAAAGGAAACAAATCAAACAGGATTTATTTACTCACTTTGCCCATGTAAGACTGAGGAGTTTTTCATTAGGCATGGGAAAGAAAAAGTGCAAAATTTACAATGAAGAATAGTAAAGAGAGTTGCACTGGTTTCTACATTCGTTCTATAATGCTTCTAATTATGTAGCACAAGTAGCTTCTCTCCTTCCTTGTTTCACATCACCTACAACAAAAGTTTTGATTGATTATTGTATTTACAACCTACTATTTATGGTGCATCATCTTTGCTTTAAGTTGAAGGATCTATCCATGCTTGTTTATTTTCATTATTAATAAAAAAAAAAAATTGAAAACTTTTACTTGATGTATATAGCTAGATCGCATTGGTGATTCAACCTATCATCGCGTAACAACATTTCAATGTTTCTTCCTTTTAACGACTTTGCTTAATTTGAGAAAAAAAAATAGAGTCTAAATAATTTTCTTATTGAGTTTAGTATTAGAACACTGCAGCACGATCGCAATATTAGTTGTAATATGGATCTTGTGGATTCTACTCGCATTTTTATGATGACATGTTCCTTGTGTGTAAGGTATCTAAATTACTTATTAACATCCACCAAGAGGTACATGAATGTGGCTTCTCCCATCCATTTTTGTCTTCTTGACCTCAAATTGGTTTTTATGCTACCACCTTAAGTTTTAAGGATGGAAGCGTATACTTTCTCCATTTCAATTTGTAGGTCATTTTGGATTTTGAAAGATTTTTTAAAATATAACCGTTTTACAAATTCTAGGTAAATTAATGACAATTTTTTCTAATTTTACCCTCAATAAATGATACCAATATATTTTTTTTAGTCTTGTTTATAGTTCCAATGTAATAAATGAGGAGTAAAACAGATATTTAACATATAAATTAATTGTTAGATGATTGTCTCATTAATATACGTGCGTAGCCTAAAATGACTTACATTTTGAAATGGTGAGAGTAATCAATAAGAAAAATTTTGTAAGGAATAAAGAATTCTTTCTATTTAACCGACTGTAAGGGTAGAAGAAAAAAAATACTCCTTCTACTTAACAAACAAGACAATTATTTTCGACATAATATTTCACTTATTACATGTTACATCTCTCCAACATTCCAACCCCAATTTCACCTTTTAATTTGGATCTTTTTCTACTTCCTTATTATGTTTTGGAGCGTTTGCTATTTGAGAGGGACAAATGTAATGGGTTTTTTCTTTTCACTTTATTTTTTATTCTCCCTCTGTGTACGTTATTCTATTAATGAGATGAGGAAATATATATATATATATATATATCGGTTAGCAAAATAATTTTTATAAATGAAGTATCGACACTTTTTGTGAGAATTACTTTGTTTCTAATTCATAATCGTTGTATCCTAGAAATTACTAAAATCTTATATATGAAAAGAAAAAAAATAAAATTCAGACATGTGACCTGAAATCATTTGGTCAAACAAAATATTAAAAGTTAAGTTCAATTAGATGTTGTAAATGTTTTAACGAACTCGTCAATTTCACACATTTACCTATATAATTTTTGAACCGAAATTCAAGATTTCCAAATTACGTGGATATTGCTGCAACTATTTTCCACGATTTCATGATTAGATTGTTATGCTATTTGTTTAACTAATTATTAAGATTCATAATTTTAAGGATTATTATTACACAAATAATTTGCATCCGTACTTCTAAAAACATTGTCGCAACGAGACATATTTATCACATGAACAATCAAAATACAGTCCAATATATAACATTAATGTTTTCATAATTATCACAGTAACATGAGATTTTATTAATTATGCATTAAGTAACCTTATTATTTTTGGGATCATTTGTAAATTTATTTTGAAGATTTAACTTGCACATATGACATTTCATTGCATGATCAGTAGAGATCAATTATTTCTATTGAGAATAATTCTTGAAACCGAAGAAAAATACACATATTTTTTCGAACAAATATCCATACATTGAATAACAAATGAAGTGATTAGTTTTCATAAGTTTTTCTTGTGCAAAAAACTAATATACATAATCATTATCCTGGCAATCTTATCGAAGATCAGATCTGAACAAATTTATTCACAAGAATCCAAAATTTAAAATTGAAGAATCTTACATTATATCATACATTATATTGAATTTCAATTTTTTCACTCATGAATGTATTTTTTTTTTTCCTCTTATTTTTTAGCACCCGGCAACGCAGGAACAAGTACTGCTACTAAGTAAGGGATGTAAAGTTCTTTTTCTTAACTAAAATCAAAATTCGACATTACACAGATAATAAAGTAGAAATTATACTTACCATTTCTTAGCTTGAGAGATAATTAAGGAGGATTGAGTAGTCTATCAAGTAAATGAGGAAAGAAATAGAAAGTTAACGAATAGAAACAAGTGTGTCATTTAGGATGTAATAATCCAATGTCAATCATTCTTCCCTTTTTCAATAAAAGCCACTCCCACTGAAAATACTGTCATATTTGTTGTGTTATTGTAATAGGTCAAATATATGTTTTGGCATAGAGTGCACACCCTTAGTATAATAATTCAAATTCAACATGCGGTACAACTCCAACTCCACATCTACATACATCCCATTTTGAGCCTTCACTTTGAAATTTTCCTAACACAACCAGAAAAAAAAAATTGATAAGGAAAGTTTTGACTTTTGAGAATGTCCATGGGGATTCACCCTTTTTATGTTATCATCATTCACCATTATATACTCTTTATCTTAATATTTTGAGGAAAAAAAAGTAGTTTGAGAATATTCCCCCCATTTTCTTTGGAATTGTCTTTTTTGCATGATCATGACATTGAATTACACTACGAGGTCACCAAATCTAACAGTACCATGCAAAAGCTATCGGAAACCACTTGTTCATAATAATTAGTTAATAACAAGAGAAATTTTAACATATTACAATTGATTAAAAGAGGAGGAGATAAAATTCAAAGAAACAATTCATCACAAATACTAAAGCACTTCATTTTTTTAGTGCTGGATTAGGTTTAATTAATTAGGCACTAACATTAGATATATCAACTACCAAATTTCATCAGTTTGAAGCAGCTTCCTTGACCTGAACAGCCAGAATCTTGTTCTCATCACCATTTTTGCCATCACCATTAGGGTTCATGGGAATAATAATTTGAGGAGGAACCATTGGATGAATTTCGGATGAAACAATCGCGCTCAACTTGATAACATCCAGAATCTGTTCTTGCAATTCAGGGAGCTTGTGTTCCTCCAGCACTATGATCTGTGTTTGAATTTCCGGGAGCGTCGGCTCGACGATTTTCTTCTTGTTTTTGTAAATTAAATACAATATCATTTGAAGGACTCCGAAGAAGAACCCGAGGATGTTTGGAATCTGAAGAAAGATCAATGTAGAGAACGTATCAAAATCAGAAATGCAAAACAATATTCATTTTGTTGGAATTCTCATGCAGCATTTGATTATTTATACTTACCGCAATATTGAAATCCTTGAGAAGAAGACCATAAAAAAACCACATCACGGCGCTTAAGGTGAGGAAGAGTGACAAGAGAAATGGCATGTATTCCACACTTTTGGTTCTTATAACTTGTCTCTGTAAATAATGCAACACAAACAAATTGCAAAACAATGAGATGATTTTTTTAATTATCTTGTTTGTGGTATAAAATGATTATAAAAAATGGTGCAAAAAAATAAAACAAAAATTACCACAATAGCCAAAGGTGCAACAAAGACACATAATGCAAAGACCAGGCAAATCCATCCAACAATTTCAGCACGGGCTTGGCCCTTTGAGAGTAATTGAGTTAGGACAATGATCAAACCATATCCCACCACGATCAATCCAAGGAGTAATTTTGCCGTTTGAATCTGCAAAAATAGTATGATCAGTTATTGATTAAGAATCATTATTCAAATTATAATACACGGTCCAAGATAATTAACATACTTCCTCCATTACAAAATAAAAAATTTTAGATAGGTTTTTAGAATATACGTACCCTAGCTTGTCTAGTTGCATAAAACAGGTAGAAGCTGATGTATATGGTTTGGACAACACAGCCAACAGAATTGATGGTAATGAGAAGAGTGGTGTCGGATTTGAGGAAAGCATAATACATCCACAACATTGCACTGAATAATCCAACCACATAGGGAATCGATTGAAACCCTTCAGATGACTTCTTCTTGTATATCTTGTAAAATGTTGCCCTAAAAAAATGAAGAAAAAAAAAAAGAGAAGTTATTAATGATGCATGCACGAAAATAGGAAAAAAATGAAGAAAAAAAAAAAGAGAAGTTATTAATGATGCATGCACGAAAATAGGGTATGTAATTTTGCTGCAGCCTGCAAATGATATCTATAGAGATCATGGACTTACAATGGTGCAAGGAACACCATGAATGAGACAATGTTGCCTGCGGACAAAAATTAAAAAACATGTTAATAATGAAGATGAAAAGATAACCGTCACATTAACATATAATAAAACTCAAAAATTGGTAAAATGGCCGACGCTCATTTCCAATTACTTGTGGTATAAGTCACCACAAATTAATGTTGAAGTTTGATACATAAGTATATGCAAACTTTTGTTGTATTATTTATAATTTGTGTATATATACCTCCAAGGCCAAAGAGGAAAGCCAATTGAACCATATCTCAAGCTAGCAAATCAAGCTTTGATGAGAAAATGGGAGATGGAATGAATATTGCTTTGTAAGTGTTTTAAATGTCTTTGGCTCACATCTTACAATGGTGTTCTTGCATGCATTTATATAGAGGGGATGAAGGTTTGAACAAAGGCCTAATTTCGTGGAAGGAAAAGGGAATAATCACATCATCAAGGGTCAATGGAATAGTACTAAGGCATGCAATATCTTTTTCTTTACTTCCTTTACAGTTGTTCACAATACTAAGGCATAATAATCACAATCCAAAATGTGCTTTTTGATCCCAAATGCTCCATTTAACCCTATTTGGATGGTTTTTGCCTTAGACAAAAACCCTAGAGCAACACATCTAGTTCTATTTGTTTTGGGGGATGCATTATTTACTCAGTGTAAACACGATAAGGTCCCACTAAAAAACCCCTTTCTGATGTGTTACCCACCAGCCAATTGGGCTTAAGGTTTACAACTCATGCGACTTGTAGCTTCCAGGAAGAGCTTGATTTTTCATTGATGAATCAGGAAACCCTAATTATTTTGTTTTATTTTTAATAATGCAAGGCTGGTGTATTAGGCGAATTTATATCACACTCAAATTAATCTTTACTTGTTTCTCAAGATGAACTCTTTCATGACACAGGGTTTTTGTAATATTATTTTTTAAATTTGCAAGACTCTGACTTGAGATTTTTATGTAATTAAGGGGCACTGTATCTTACCACTTTAACCAATAAGTGTTAATTAGCAATGCTAATTCAGTTATCTTCTTAGCAAAAATGGATTTAGAATATTGTTGGGGATATCTAGCTTGTCATAACCAATAATTCTCCTGCATGGGGTCCATTTCTAGATGTACTGTGTTAATGGAGCTAAACAAAAATAAATAACTAAAATAAAAAAATTTAAATGAGGCGATATTACTAGCTAGATTGGCAAGTAAAATTATGTTTATTTTGGTTGGTCAATTTGCATGCCTCCTCGATGCAGCGAACATTTATGCTTATACAAATTAGCTATTGGAATGTACACACGAGACAATTTCCTAGAATTATATATTGTGGAATGAAGAGGTCTATATATAGATTACATAGAATGATCTGGATAAAAATTATCAGCCATATGTTTAAACTTAATTAATTAAACTCAGGTGAATTGGATTTTTCACTTGGTTGAAGTTGAACCCGACCCACCCCACTTCATCATTAATGTTTCGGTATTTAAAAACAAAATGCAATTTTAATTTTCTGCTGGATCCCCTTCGATCGATTGTACCCGAGTTTATTTGCAGGACTTCGTTGAACAAACTTGCTCCTCATTGATAACAATTTTTTCAGTCACTATATTTTCATTTTTGTAAATTGTAATGCCATTTTCTAGCTCTCTTTTACTTTCTCCGGTCCTTAATATAATGTATTTTGATTTGTCTTAGATCTAATCTAGTACACAGTTTTAATCAACGAAAAAATCTTAAAAATATTTCATAACAATCAAGAAAACACAACAAATATGAAAATATAATTTTAAGATTTCTTTGTCAATTAAATATGTGTGCTGGTGAAACATAAGAAAAGTCAAAATATCTTATGCTAAGAACCGGAGGGAGTATATTGTAATCGATAGAGAAGAAAATAAAGATTCTTTATGTTTGAAATTTCGCATACGTGTCTCGGTTAAAAAAACGAACAATTTTTTAAATTCACTGTAATTTACTCTCTTCGTCCCGAAATCATTGTCCAATTTGAATTTTTACTTTTAATTGAAATTGTATTAAAAGTGAAATTACAAATCAGACAATAATTTTCAGACAGAAGGAGTGTATCTTATGTAAACATGACCGGATCTTGAGTTCGTAATCGATACTAACTAAAAATGCTAGCAGGCTAATTTTTCTTTTTCCAAATGCAACAAAACTTTCAGCGAAATGGCCATTGTTCTGTTACTTTTATTCGATTCTTCATCTTTCATTTTGTTTCCCTCTTCTTCAAGTTACGCTTGCGGTTAATAGTTATAATAGGGTCTTAAAAAACACCATAATAATTCGAATGCCTCTAGTTTCGAAATTTTTGTGTAAAAGCATTTGTGTGCGTGTGAAACTCTCAGTTTTGCAAAGGATAAGTCTTCCCTTTACATGGAAAGGTAAAAATGCATATCGAAGGTTAGGAAATGTGAATCGTGGAGATGAATTTGCCATTGTAAGGTATCTTTAGAACAACAAAAAATAAAAAAGACTATTTTAAGGGGAATATTGCCTTCTTTATAGGGGTAAATTGATCCCACTAGCCATAAAGGATGCCTTAAAATTGCCCCAGAGAAGATGCATGCATCCTTGATCCACAAAAAAAATGTCTTCTAATTTGGCCCAAAATTTTCAAAGGAATTGTTCTCAATTTTAGAAATATTCAACCATCAATATAAAGGTGAATTGTGTGCTTACATATAATTATATTCATCATTAAAATGTGGAAAACTTATCCAAATTATAGAGAGTTACCTTTTACTAAATTAGAAGGTTTACTATCCTATGTAGAACTAAATTATACTCCTATTTCTGATTATTCTTTCTATGGAGTTTCCGACCTTCTTTTTCTCTAAATTTAAATGTTTAGATTCAGACACTTCGCCCCTGTATGGATGTACTTAATTTTTTTTTTTTTCATAATTTTCTTCTTCTCCCTTTTTTTTTCCCCCTTAAATGCACATCGTTTACATTAGAATGCAATACAAAAAGCCATTTTAGAATGATGTGTATATCCGAATTTCATGACCAAGGGTAAAAACTAAAATTAACTTCACAAATGATTGTTTTTATAAATGCTTGCTTTGGTTGCTGTACTCAAGGTGGTAACCAATTTTAGAGGATGAGAGTTGCTATATCTTCAAATTTTTTACTCTTCATAGATCACTTGTCTCCTATATACCTTTTCTTTAGTCTTCTCTTTCTCATCTAATTTTTCTCCTTTTTGATTTTTTTTTTGTTAAAAGCGATATTCATTAATATAAAAAACAAAGCATCAATATAAGATTTATAAAGGACTAAAACAATCCGCCTTAAACGCTCTTTCTAACCACAAAGAGTATTTTTATCCTAGTTTTATGTACATTTGTTAGAAAGAGCCAACTTAACAAGAGTGTCACAAGCTGAGTTCCAATCTTTTAGAATAAACAGAAATTTACACTCCGAACTAAAATTTTTTCTCTTGCTTGACAATTAAGTTTAGTGCCTAGTTCACACATTTTATAATTATTCTCCTTCTTGAAATTTGTTCCCACAGAATATTCTTCATCTTTTTATTTCTACCAATAAGAGCAAACTTCGGTGAAATTTCGAGATAAAATGCTCTGAAACTGTGAAAAATGCTAAACAATAGATAAACAAAGACTAGGTTGATTTAGCTCCTGTTACTGTCCTTTGATTAGAAGATTTGTGTATGGGAAATTCAAATTTGGGCTAGACACTTGGATGAATGAGACGTTTCAGCTCCCTATGGGCTCTCTCTCACTTTGTATGTTTTGAATGGGCCATCTGCCAAATTTTAATATGTTATTGCCCCTCTAATGTATACATGGTCCATTGTATATTTACTGTCTCAACAAATTAAATACACTGCTCCCTCTGTCCCGAAAAAATAGTCCAATTTGAAAGACTTAAATATAAAAATTAGATGACTTAATCTTGTAAATTAAAAAGTTGATGTGAAAAATTGAATAAAGTTTCAAAATTATTTATAAATTTAATAATCAATTTTAGGTTATAATGATCTCATAACTCTAATTTTAAGATTTGTATTTCTAAAATTGGACTATTTTTACGGGACGGAGGTAGTATTTTATACTGTATACTTTGATGAGCCAAGCATAGTTATTTGATATTTAGTAATTTTTTTTTAAAAAAAAACAGAGAAATTTAGCTAACGACACTTATTTACGCAAGAATATTGTAATTTGAAACCCGTAGAAATTTGCTACTCCAATCTTGTAATTGCAATCTCTAACTTGTACCATCTCCTTCAGTTCTCTTACAACTTAAAAAGCAAATAGTATGAAACGTCACGTGAATTTACAGAAAAATATAAATTATTTTCTTGTAATCTTACTCGTTGTATTAATTTATACCTTGTATTCTGCTGGTGGGTAATGTCGTTAATTTATTCCACCTGTGCGATCAAATTAAAATAATATAATTACTGCGAACTAGAATTTTTCTTGATCAAGGTGGTTGTTATCTGAGCTAATAAAGGTGATGAACTTTATTCAGGTTAAAAGTTGAAAACTCTCCCAAGTCAAAAAGACCCGACGATTTCGGGTCAATTATTGTTGTTAGGCACAAAGACAAGTTCTCGAAGTTTTTCTAATACAATTATTAGGGACATTTTTACTTTTAAAATTAGTTACTACATGTTACCTTCTTGATTTCACGTCAAAGATACAAATATATATATATATATATACTTCATCCGTCTCAAAATGATCATCAAGTTTTTATATTTATTTTGTCTTAAAATGATTGTATTATTTAGATTTTGATTTTTAATTATATACTTTATAATAAAAATAAAAATTCAAATTAGACGATCATTTAAATTGAAAAGAAATGACGATCATTTTTAGATGAAAAGAGTATTTATTTATTGCTATCTATGAGATTAAAATATGATCATCGTAATTTTATTCTCCCACCCATAAATTTTCACCCTAAGTAGATAGTTTTTTTTTTTCTTCTTTTAGTAAAATGAAAAGGGTTTACTTCAAATCAAAATAATTCAACAAACATGTTGTGATTCATGGTAATACGTACAGAAATTGAGATAGGTAAATGACATTCCAGATCACATTACACAAAATATGTCAGAAAAATTTACAAGTAGCAACTTGTAAGGAGAGTGAGAATTTCGGCTTTCTTAATTTTACATAAAAGCAGACGTAAATCCAATTATACAACCACCATGAACATATACAACCAGATGAAACTAGGATTGTGATTATTATCTTTGTAACTACATAATCAGTCGTAAAATTTACTTCTCTATATATAATATGTGTTCCGGTTAAACATCTCACCCTCTTCCCAGCAACTCTCTAGCCCCCTTAGGAGGCATTTATTTGGGAAAAAAGACATCCAAGTAATATGCAGTATCTACATGCATGAACCAAATTACATTCAAAAAATGGAAAAGAGAACTCATTTCAGTTTAGTGTTGTTTTGTCTCTTTTTGGGTCATATGTCCTATATTGTACAGTTGTAGTATGTATTCACAATTAATTACTTGTGAGGAAGTGCAACAACACGCGTATACCCTAAAGAAAGACTATACAAAATATATGATTGTTTGGATAACGAAAGGATATGGAAAAAATAGATTGGTATTAGTGCAATTAACTTTTTCTTTTATCAGATTGCAATATGACAACAGCAGAAATAAAAATAAAAAAGCGTACTACATATTTTTTTTTTTTTTAATCAAACACCAAATCAAGACGCCTAAATCCTCGGACGGCAAAGATTGACACGAACCCACTCCCCAAACACATTTCTAATCAAAACTTTATTTCCCTCTCCTTGCCAAACGTTATCCCCCGCAACTTTATTTCATGCTTTAAAATTTCATGTAACTTGTACTCTTTCTGTCTCGAAATGATTATTTTATTATGTACTGTATATATTTACGATAAATTAAATTAAGTAATCAAAAGAGGGAGCCTGTTGTGCGACAAAAGGCTGCCCGGCACAATCTGTTGGGTTTCAATATCTTGTCCAAATTATGGATTTGATCCTTTCGATTTTGAGGTAATGCTGATGAGAGAATTCATCAAAGTTGTGCTAGTGTAGTGATAGTGTTTAATTAAAGTTGTGTTAATCTATGATCTCACCATTTCTTATCAAAACTTTTGGGCATCTTATCAAATGAACCAGTAGTAATATATGATAATGAATCTTGATTAATCTGATTATAAGAACATTTAAGATTTCAGTGAAAGATCCCGATATGGATTTGATTTTCAATAGCTGCAGGCATCCTCTTTTCCCTCAAAAAAGTAGGAAAGAAACAAATATTTGTTGCTATGTGATTAAATTTAACTACTGTTGTAGTCTCCCGTTTTTTCATATTTTGAAGTAAAACTGCGTCAAAGTAAAGGCAGGTTTCTTTTACTGAAAATGAAGCCGAGCAAATAATTGCATTACATTTGTTGACAAAGGAAGAAATAGTTGGATTTGTGCTGGTAATTACTAACACGTGCATGAAAATTCTCTTCTTTTTATTTTATTTTATTTATTTATTTGCTTGCGAAAAATGCTTGGCCCTTTCGGTGTGAATCTTTAGAGATTCAATTTGTGTAACCAAAAGAAAAGTTTGTTTTTCTTTTTATGTAAACATGTGTCACAAGCGAATTACATACCACATTTTAAATTTTTTTTTTTTTTTTTCATTTGTGTGACCCGTTTTGAGTGTAAGGTCTCTCGCAACAACCTTTTCTCATTCATTTGCTTTCGAATCCAAAAATTTAATTATTACTTATATAAAGTCAATTTTTTACCAATTAATCCAATTATATTAATGATTTGAGTGGGGTGACATTTATAAGTGTATATTGTCCTTTAATTCTAAGACGCACTCAAATACAATAGCACAAAAGTAAGGCTGGATTCCTGGAAGAATAATTAGTAATGTACAAATTGAACGAAGCTTCTATACTAGTAATGTACAAATTGAAGGAAGAATAATTATAAGGTGTTTGAAGGCCACAACTAAGAGGAATCGAAACCTTAGTAATTAATTAGCTAGTCAAAAGATTAATGTTAATATTCACTCTTAATGATTCCTGAACTAATTCTCACCAAAGAACAAATGATTGAAAGAATCTAGCTAGTATTATTTTCCAATCAAATTTGAGTTTTTTTTTTTTTTAGTGTCAAAAAGTAGTCAAAAACACCATAATGAGTAGTCAAAAAGAATCTTAATAGTCACTACCTCAATTTGGGATTTGAGCTCGACATGAAGCTACGAATGGTTCCAAAATAATGGATTCGAATTACACAGTTTAAACTTACAACAAGTCATCAAACAAGGAATCATTGCGTGTTTGATCAGAATCGTAGTCATATCTCATATTTACAGAATCGTAATTATTGATTAACGAATCATATTCATATCTATTATCGCCAACACGCATGTGTTCGTGTTTTCTTCTTGTGTAAGAAATCGCCACCCCCAAGTCGACACCATCTAGGACTCCATGTAGTTGTTGATGTGGGTACGATCAAAAATGATTTCGGAGAGGAGCCATAACCTGTTATTTTCTGAAGTTGACGAGTGGAGATTGATGGATCAACTTTTTTTTCTCAATCATAAAAATGAAAGAAGCCGGAAAATGTTATACAATCACATACGTACTCGATCAAAGATTAGCCAATCCTTGGATTAAAAGCTAGCTAAAAAGTGTTATCCCTATCTTAGGAGAATTGGTATGTGGCAAAAGCTAAAACTACCGGACCTACCCCATCACTCTTCTTCCTTTACAAAAAGCTACGAAATTCCTTCACGATTGAAAAAATTATTTTGTCTTCACAAAGTTCATCAGTTTTAGTTTTAGGCCTTTCTTGCTTCTTCTCTTAGGATTAGCTGGTTTACGTCATTACTATATCTCCAGCACTACCACCATGGCCATGATTTTGATGGTGATTGAAACGATCTTTTGATTTTGTTTCCTCTCTTTATCTCGTAACCAATGAGAATTCAGCTAATCCGTATATCCTGCATGCTTTTAATTAACCTTACTCATGCCGTTAAAGAAAAATATTCTATTTTGTTGAACTGAAATAATTGATATTTGTTTTTTTTTTTTAAAAAAAAGCGTACAATATGATACTATTCTAATGCACCAAGGGCAAACAAAAAAACAAAAAATGATATGGAGCAAATAGAAATACTAAGATTTATTGATAATTAGTTTCAATTCAAATTGGAAGGTTACATGAACTACTACATGAACTTAGAGAAAATTTAGTAATTGGGAAACATTTCTGATTGATGATACAACAAATAATTATATATATAATCACGCTAATTAAATACTATTATTATTACAACACAAAAGATGCTGGAGAATTCAAAGGGAGTTGTAAGTTGTAATAACTCCAACCCCGTTTTTTTTTTTTTCCCTTCTTCTTCTTCTTCTTCTTTCTCAGTTTTTACGAAGGTTAAATTAAAGGTTAAAAAAAAAAGAAAAAAAAGAAAGCTTTATTCAAGCAGCTGCTACAATGGGAGTCTTGGGAGGTTCCATCTGAATGGCGAGATCCCTTGGAGGAGCATCAAATCCATGATCAAGATTGTTTCCGCCGGAGCGTAAAACCACAGGGATTTTCTCCAATTCACTGAGCTTTGCAATATCAATAACTTGGTCATTTTTGTTACCAGAAAGCTTGTTATCCTCCAATATGATAATCTGGTCAGCGAGCTCAGGCACCTTCTTTTGCTCAAGTTCTTTCTCTTTCTTTGGTGACTTGCTGTAGATCTTGTACAGGATGATTTGGAGGATACCGAAAATGAATCCGAGTACGTTGGGGATCTGCAATTTATGAGGAAAAAAAAATAAAAGAAATTAGTACTTAATCACCAAAAAAAAAAAAATCAGTAGAAAATGGAAAAACTTATAACAAGAATTGATGAAAATGCTTACAGCTATGTTGAAGTCCTTGAGCAATAGACCGTAGAAGAACCATGCTACAGCATTGAGGGTGAGGAAAGCTGATAAAGGCAGTGGCATGTATTCGGCACTTTTGGTTCGTATAACTTCCCTCTGCATGAAATATATTATTAGAATGTTTTTTTTTTTTTTTGTGTGTATTAATGAATCATGATTTGCCGGTGAAATTACGTAAATGAGTTGATGGTGCATGGAAAAACTTACCACGATGCATAAGGGAGCAACAAAGACGCACAAAGAGAAGACGAGGCAAGTCCATCCAACAGCTTTGACACGGGTTGCTCCATGGGCTAAGAAATATGTGAGCACAACAATAAGACCAAAACCACAAACTAAAAGCCCGACAATTTGCTTCAATGCATCAACCTGCATGTAGTACAATATTAATTAGCTCCGGAACAAAAACAAATATGGAACATATTGGAGAATGATTGATTAAGATGGTTTTCTTTTAGGGTTCATACCCTAGCCTTCTTTGTTGCATAAACAAGGAAGAAGCAAATGTAGATAAGCTCAATGAAGCAGCCAAAGGTGTTTATGGTGATGAGGAAAGTTGCATTGGTCTTGAGCAATGCGTAATAGATCCACAGCATGGCACTCAGTAGTGCAACCACATAAGGAATCGATTGAAACCCTTCGGTTGATTTCTTCTTGAAAATCTGGTAAAAGGTTGGCCTGAAATATTAAAAGGAAGAAGAATAATTAATTAATTAGTTCAGAAAATTATTCTTTTCCACTACCTCAATTCTAAGCAATAATAAAATGAGTGATGGAGGGAAGGACTTACACTGGTGCCAAGAACACACAGAAAGAGATGATGTTGCCTGCCAAGAAAAGGAAAAAATAGTGGAGAGAATATGTTAAAATATTGCGTGCATGAGAATCAATCATCTTCGTCTACATGCAGTTCGTATATATGGTACCTTTCTGTACATTAGAAAGTTTAATGTATGATGATGTTAACCTTGAATTAATCTCTAGTTTATGGATAGCGACTTAAGGATGATAATTGAAATTCGAAAAATGATCTGAAAATGGATTTTTCGAAATAAAAGGGAAGCGAATTCAATGTTGCATGTATCGATATGCTATAGTGAATAGTAATTAAGAAATGAATATGCAGATATTAATTTGCATGTAGAGAAAAGAAAGGAATTGGAGGTGTACCAAGAAGACCAAAGACAAAAGTCAACTCAGATGAAGAAAGGGCCATTTTAGCTTCGATTAATAGCAAAAACTCTTCTGAGTTTCTTTGCTTTCGCTCTTTCTCACTTAGAACGTTTAGCACAAAGAGAGGTGTGAGTTGATTGCATGGGTTGTGGAGGTATATATACTAGGAGGGGCAGACAGAATTAGTGGGAAAGTGCAAAATACAAGACAAAGATTTTGATTATAATAATAATTAAGAATAGTTTACAAGGAAAAAAAAAAGGAAATAGTGGAAAAGTGAAACTGGGAAGAGATAAATATTTTGATATTTTCTTCTTATATTTTTAATTCCTTGATTTTTTCTGGATCCTATAAACTGTTCAGATAATTTTCAAAAAAAGCATTTGCAAATTGCATTCGGAAAAAACTTTTCTTATGTCATCCTCCAATCCCCATGGCCTATAGGTTTACAAATCACCCTTAGTTTTATTTTCTAATAAAAGGATTACTAAATTAACTAGCGTGTTCCAGTTATCCATCTTTGATCATGATCGGGTGTTCGAATTTTATTCTAGACGTGAAATAGTTTTAAATATTGTCACAAATTTTCTCACTCATGAATGTAACTAGAACTCAATGAGAAATATTTATTATTTTTTTCAATCGCGGACCTCTTACACATATATGCACATATATATATATATATATATGAAAACACAAAAAGAAGAAAGATTTGAATCGCTAAATAATATTTATGCCAATATTTTAATAACAAAATGTAGTCCAATTCAGCACAAAACCAATCTTCAGGGATTAGAAATGACCAGTGGATTTAAGCCACTTGGCATCAATAATTCCAAGATGGGACATTGCTTTGTGATTCTTGGATTTTAGTTCTTTTTTTTTCTCTTTGATGATGAAAAAGATTAAGGGCTGCAACAACAATTGGCAAAATCAAAAGAAGAAAAAAAAAATATGGTAGAGATATGTTTTACTATAGTAGGCTTATCGGCAATTTTTTTGGTTTGGGTGGCATATGTCATCCATTGCTATAAAGCACACAAAATGGTTCAATTCACTTTAAAAAAATCGATCATATCAAAAAGCAAAAACACAATAGACCAAATTATTGGACATCCTCCAATAAATGTGTACGTTTATCTGCTTGCCTGTCTATGAAATAATGTATGGAGCTTTTCAGAAATCCAATTTCCAAGGAGTTTCTGGTGTCCATATTGCTAAACGGGAAATAGCTCTGTTTTGAAGATTTTTAGGCGCAATTGTGAACCCTAAAAAGGGAAAAGAAAAATGTTGCATAATAATCACGATAATTAATTATGAACAAAATAAAAAAAGTTTTGCTTTACAAATTAACTTATTTTGTGATTGCTACAGTTTGTGTAATTTTTTGCATCATAATCATGTTGATAGAATGATTAATTAAGTAATTAATGGTTTAACATGTGGACCACAAGAATCACCCATTATAAGAATGAAATGTAGCCGTTTTATATGTGCATATGAAAGATAAACAAAAATGAAAAAGAAAATAATAAGAAATTAGTCGTATAAATACCACTGAGAATGTAAATAAGTTGAAAACGTATATTTTGACACAAAATATATATTTTTAGAACGGAAGAAGTATATAATTAATATACGATAACATTTTTGGCATGATATTTTGTGAAACCAATATATATATATTCTTTCGGGGGCTTGAATCTAGCTTCTAAAGGCCTAAAGAAAGCGGGGAAAAGTAGTTGTTTTGAGGGGGAAAATCATTGCCATAGCAATAGTTTAATAGTCTTTCACTTTACAATTTTAGAATCCCAGGTGGTCAAACATTATTAAGCATAGATACCTGATGAGCTAGTAAAGTATTAATCTTTTTGTTTAGTTAATTACCAAATTAAAGGTGTAAATTAATAGAAGAAAAAAAAAAGAAATTTCTTTGACTAAGAGAAGTGAAAAAGAATGGTTTATTTTGGCTAATTGGAAAGTAATATTTGTATATATAATCTGCTCTTGAAATAATAATAATTTATGAATTAATGGTAGTAGGTTTTGTAGCTCCTTCCATTAGGCATTTCCTTTTTCTGCAGTTGGCATATTCTCCGCCTAATTTGGTTGCGAATAACAGTTTGTGATGCATACATCAGTTCAAATTTGTACCGCTATCACCAGTGAAAAATGATTAAAATATTTAGAACTGCACTTTTTTTTGTTTGTGTAATTTATTGCGTAATAATTCCACTTCTTGAATCATTGTCAGAGGTTAAGAAATATTTCACATGTGTCAAAATAATTATCCAGTTTATATTTTTATTTTTAATATAATCTGTACTAAAAATAAAACTTCAAACCAGACGGTCATAATAAAATAAAGGAAATAATTAAAACTATTTGAGACGGAGACTCCAAGAATCTTGTGAACTAGTTTACAGTTGTTAATGTAATTTGTTACAGCAGAAATATATTTCTTAGTAGAGAGTTGTCAATACAGTGGGTCAGAGGTAGAGTCTGCCTCTGAACAAACCACCGTTGAAGGTGATTTCTAGTTTATTACCGGTCATACATATAGGTCTGCTTCTAAATATTACTATCTTTGTCTCAAAAAAAAAAAACTTTAATTAGTATAAATATCAAAACTTAATGTGAATTTATTTTTTGGGCAGAAAGAATATATTAATCATAGAAAGGTCATGATGTACATTTGTATATTGAGGTGGAAGACACTTTCTGTTGTGATCATAATAAAAAAGTAGAGGTAACAATATTGAGCGAATCACAAAATCCGAAAAATATGAAATAAGACTTAATTAATTTTAAAGCTACCAAGTAGCAACTAAATGTTAATATTTGAAACAATATTCTGAGAGGGCACTCAGTTAATTAGATGGAAGCTTCACACACGCACAAAACAAAAACACATGCTTAAGCTGTACAAATTTCATGCGTGAAAAAAAGAAAAGAATAGGTTAAAAGAAAAAAAGAAGACCCCAAAAATGTTTTTAATAATAAAAATATTAAGAAGTAAATACTCATGTTTGGACTTTAATTGAAGTCTCCAATAATGCGGGAATTAAAAATATATATAAAAAAAGGTCCTACCGGGAGTCGAACCCAGGTCGTTGGATTCAAAGTCCAAAGTGCTAACCACTACACCATAGAACCGGTTCTTGAAGAAATCTGATCTTAAATTAATTTATAGAAATAATGTAATGATTCTTCCAATACAGTTTTTCTGTTCCCAAACTATTGTGAAAATAAAGGAAACATTACTACCTCTATCAAAAGAAATAAAATAAATATTAATAATTATAGAAGTAAAAAAATAATTCCAAAAACATGACTTTTAAGAATATTCTTAACAACAAAAAGTAAATTTATATGCTACCGTAACCCAATTTAATCTGAACATCTTTTACTCGCATTTTATGACGGAGTTATTACTTATATAGTTTGCAGGAGAATAAAATCATAATGCATGTATTTAATATTCAAAATGAAGATAACTTGATATAAGAGAAATGAAAATAACTTGCAGCATGAGAGTTGAGTCGAATGATAAAGGCGAAGTCTCAATAAGCCATCTTATTCAAATCAATCCAATTTACTTTTGGTTTGAGAAATGAAAATTAACTTTTTCCGGTGTATAGGTCGAAAATGAAAGCCATAGATAAAGGTAAAAAGGAAGAACCACTGTGAACAAAAGGATCACGTTTAAAATTTACTTTCTTTGTGTTCAAATTCACAAACAGTAAAATTAATTAAATATTAAATAAATGTTTTTTTTTTTCATCAACAACACTTTGTTTGGAGTTTAGCGATCAATAATTAGCAAGATACATTTTCTTTTCTTTTTAAAAAAAATATGGAGTATGAGCTGAGTGGTAGTAGATAATAACTGGAACACATGATGAAATTCTGTGCAATAAAAAGGGGTATCTCCGCAGCATTTTTCCCATGATTTAGACCAAAAGTTCGATTTGTCGACATCGATCTTATTAAGGAAGATGTGAAGAAGGTTTCTCAAGGAAAAAGAAGACACGAACATAAAGAGTGTTCGATAGAGAAGAAGAGAAACAATTTTACTTCTTTTCGGTCTCTTTTTCCAATAGGCAAACTAAAGTTAAGTCGGCTGAATCAAATTTAGATCCCACATTGAGAAAGGTGATAATGATATACTTCCTTCTGTGTGCCAAACTGATTGTCATGTTTGTTGTATACACTGAAATATGATACAATGAATTAGACAATTATTTTGATATGAATAAAAATATTTGATTCATTTTGAAAGAATAAATTATGTTTATAATACGAAATTCAGTAAGATAAATATGACTATTAATTTGGGATGAAGAATAACTCTAATTTATTTACAAATAAATTGACTATGCAAGTAACGAAGCCTATTGCACCCTTCTAGTGTGTCACAATAACGGCAATTTATCTACTATATCCGGGAGCACCATGTTCCCCTCCTATTTTTTGTACTAGACGTTCTTATTGTACTTTTCATTAATCTTTTTATAATTTACAGGTTTAGTCCCTGTGACTTTTTTCTCTTTCTTTTAAAAGACATCTCTAATCTTTAAACGATCACATTTCTCAATCCATGAATAATTTGTGACCGAATTATATATAAAATTTATAGTACTCGTCGAGATCTATCCAACAAGATCCACGAAAATTATACCATGCACATTAAGTGCATATAACTAGGTATACATAGACCCTTATTTGGTAATTAGTATAGGAAAAGAGGATTAAACATACAATTCTTTATGAGTTAGGTGAAACTCACGCGACCCTTCCCCTTAATTTTAGGAATTGGATTTTAATAATTTCTTAAATTTTTATTTGACTTTATTTCTTAATCCGTAAATAATTAGACCAAGTGTCTTACATCATTTGATAGTACTCGACGACATCTATCCAACAAGATCCCTCATTAATACATTTTTCGAAACTTAAAAAAATTTATGCAGTAGTCTTAGTCTTACTAAAAGACATTCTGGTCTTATTGTGTCTTTTAGGACCAAGACCTACAGAAAAGACCAAAGGCCAAAGGCCAAAGACCAAAATTTAATACCAAACAGCAAAGATCAAAGACCAGAGTAAAGAGCGAGCG